CGCTTAATGTTGTAAACACTGGATCCGAGGTACAACATACCATCTCGGCGTCACTTTAGTGAAACGGCAATACAAACGCTCTACAGCGACACCAAAACTCAAGTTTTGGAATCACTGAAGAAACCCAATAGGGTGGCAATAACCTGTGATGCCCCGATCTCCATTGCGACGGAATCCTGTATCACTATTACCGCGCACTGCATCACTGGTGAATGGCAGCTCGTGTCTCGTGTACTCCAGTCACGCAGTAAGAAAAAAACAAATCAAGTATAGAAAAAAAAATTGAGATGCATCGAGAATCGATTTATGATTGGGAATAATTTGGGAAACCCTGAATCAAATCGAATCATGAGGCGCTTAGAGATTCCCACCCCTATTATCTGTTTCCAACGGATTCTTTCACTATTATAAAAAAATGCACTATACTGACAAGGTTAAATAACTGAACTTTTCTTCCTTTTACCGGAGAACAATAAGAAGAGACTTGACTGAAGTATTCGAAATCCTGAAAATCCACATTAAGAGAGTCAACCCAGTAGATGACTTCAGAATGCAGAGCAAAACAAATCAGAGGCCACCAATGAAAACTCCAGGGAAGTTCACTTAAAATTCAGATCAGGAGGCATTTTAGCACACAATGGGCTAGCTATTAGCAACCAAACCTGCTATGTGGGCCTAATGTCAGCATCTCATTTTTAACCTATTTACTATTATGTCCTTACAATGGGCACACACCTAAACTGGTTTGAAGACTATGTGGAAAAGTGATGTGTATCACCGCCCTATTATTGATTATACCTGTACAAATTAACCCAGTTGTACAGTACAGTAGCACTCATTATCCTATATATTGAAACACTTTGTACAGTATGTTATTGTAAGAGAAAATTGTTTTTTTAAATAAAAGTGATTTATGCGATGACATGAGTGAAAGAAATACTGCTTTAAAGCTGTAGGAATAAGCCACCATTCACCAGTATGCTGGTGTTCACTCCAGGGTTACATCACACATTAAAACAAGACTGATCACGAAACTTCTCTTGCATGAACAAAATCTGCTCACTCAGAGTGTCTAGCATAAACTTGTCTAAACTACAGGCAAGGGCAAAACATGGTTCTAATTGAAAATTGATTGTGGACCATGTATTTTACTCATCAGATGGTGATTCTGAGCTTTATGAAGTACATTCTCTGATTGCACCCAATGCTCTCTGTCCATATGCAGATGCACTCTACTTCATCAGAGCTTGGCAGTTAGCTTAGAACAGAGAGAGCAGATTTTTCCCAGTGAGGCATTTTCAGGTGTTCGAAGGGTATAATTCTAGCAGCTGGGACCTTTAGGAGACTGTATTCTGATTGGAAAAATCTGTGTTGAAAACAAACAGTGCAGCAGCCCTAAAACAAATTAAATTCAGTTTGCCATCAGCAACAGAGCAGACAGGAAGAGCAGCAGATGTAATCAGAAAGTCTGTGTTGATACTATGAGAGGCACAATACTGTGGGTGACTGGAGCAAGAAGCCCATAGGATTGTGCTCATGTCTGGAGGTAATTCACAGCAGCCTCCCAGCAAAAGGTAAAAGTATCTAAGCTAATGGGATTCGTGAGGAGTTCAGGCTTTGTTTTCAAACAAAATCAGTGTTTCATTGCAAGCAGTGAAGCAGAGATTCTTAATTTACAGGACTGCACTGGTGCCTTAATTGCACCTGAAACTGTTAAAGAACTCAGATAAGCAACTGGCAATATGAAAACAGTACTGCTCTACTTGAATAAATTAGTTATTACCCTTAAAAGGCATATAATTAATTCATCATATAATACTTGTTTTTCCACTTTCAAATTTAGTCTAAAAAGTGCCACAGTTTTAATAAGCTACTGAATATCACAAGATTAAAACCATGATTACATTTCACCTAGTACTATTTAAATAGTGGTATTTTTTTCTGACATTAGTTAAAAGTATGACATATTTAAAAGGATGAAACAAATTCTAATGAGAATAAAAATTGTAAAGCAAACAATAACAGTATGTTTTCGTTGAACTCTGCTACAGAACTCTACTTCACAAAAGTGCCACAGTGTGCATCGATGGTTCTCAGTTCTGGTCCAGAGAGACCCTGTGTCTGCTGGTTTTTGCTCCAAATGGGCCTTTGATCCCTGGTGCTAGCTGTTGCCTGGAACTAATCTGCTTGCTGGTTTAGATTTCTTTCTGTGTTCAGTCTTTGGTTTCAGAAATACCGTATTGAAAGTAAATAAACTCCAACAACTTCATCACACAGAATGATGTGCAGTACCTCTTCAGCTTGTTAATTACCAGTTTTCTCCCTTATTAAAACTATTTTTTAAAGGTGATGAATTTGTGATGAACAGATCACAGATGGAAGTGTACCTCACTCACATAGTGAGTCACTGTTTTTTCTACTGGCTAGATTCCCTTTATGATGGTTAGATTTCAGGTCAGCACACCTGAAGAGGGCAGTTCTGAAACTCGCTAATTAGTTCAGCTTTGATACCAAAAATAAATTAATTACATTAAATATTAAAAGAGCGAAAAGAAAATGTTAAAATAGTCCTTAAAACAGTAGAAATCTGAATCAGCTTGCCTGTGTCGAAGGCAGATTACAGTGTGGTTCCCCAGGACCAGGTGTAAGAACCACTGCTGAGCACAATGTGTTGGACTGTTTCTACTGCCAACATAACAAATCGGCTTGAGAGACTTTGCAAATGTGGAGCCCCTGCATGACTTCTGACATGACAATGCAGGTATCCCTGCATAGTCCAAGGCCAGCACTCAGCCAAACAACATATACTTTATATGAGTATAGTATGGAGTTGGTAAATGAAATAAATTGCACAGCTGTGGACCACTACATACATGAAAACCTGAGAGAGCTGGAGTTCTCTGAGCTGCTTACACTGCCCTCTGCTGGCCCACATGCTGTGTACTGCACGGTCTAATTCTGCTCTTAGCTTTTTCTCTTCCTAACATTTCAGACCAAAGATACAAGCTTTTCAGGGGTTATACATTTACCACTGACCAAATGATGCAACTGACCACACGTGTGCATGCCTCACTATATAAACACACACGAATACGCACAGAGAGAGACCAGAGAAACATCTTCAGAACCCAGAACAGTTGCCCCTGTCATTCCAGGACTGTCAGATCTACTCAGACACACAACTACTGTTGAAATAGCAACAGGCACTCACATGAGTGCAGGGTCTTCATTTCATTAGGATGAGTCAGCAACCCATAGGGCTTCCTCAGTCTCCCAGTGCACGCCTAAATCCCTAAAACTGTGGGAGGACATATTTGAATATTTATATGCATCTACAGTATGTACTGTATGCAGATTTGTACATCCACATTGTATATCACGGTACAAAGATATGAGTCAAAAAGGATGACATACCATCTTCCCCCAAATGTAGACTGCTCAATTAATCGCTATTTATCTGCTTAGCAATTTTCCATAAAATCTTTTTCTTTTTGTTACCAGAAGAAAAAGTTCATGGCTACTTTGTGGAAAAACAATTTATAAAGATTTTTCTGTTGGCATTTCTAAAAGCAAATGCAGAATTTAACTGTCCATAGAGATAGAAAATAATATCAGGAAATTAGTTACAAAGAAGAGGAGGCTGATATTCCAGTCATACTTTCTCCGATTGCTTTCTTATCTGCCTGCTGTCAAGGCTGATGAGCACATAAAAGTTTAGTTAATTAAAAATACTTCCTAAAAATATAAAGGTTTATTTTACACAGGGAAGAAAGAATAAGCAACTGCATAAGGAGATATTGTGATTAAAATGTTCTAAAACTCTCACCTTAAAATATTTCAAGGATGAGCCAACCTGCATTTCAACCTGTACTAGAGCCAGGAAAATATATGCAGTTTAAATGTGTATGCTGAATGTAAGTGACCTTTCTTGAATATTTCCTTCCGCTTTACTCTTAAATGCCTGGTCATCAATGAAGCTTGTATACAAATTTTAGTTTTTGAGACCTTTTTTTTTGGCCAGAAAATCAGTTCTTTCAGAGCAATTGCAGCATTGAGTATAAAATTGGAACCAATATAACGAAACAACAGAAACAAACAAAAGATTTCTTAGGTATAAATAAAAGGTTGAAATATTCACTGGTGCACTATGAATTCACTGGACACAAAGAAGATACAGAAATGGCTACATATCTCTACATTCAGCCCTTATCAGAAGGCCACTACCTTGGGTTGGGTATTTGTGGCAACCCAGAGCCTGTCCTGACAGCACGGGCCAGGCATTAGATGGGACTCCAGTCTGGACAAGACACTATGCTGTTGCAGGGCACACCCACAGGGACAACGTTAAGACTTTATTTAATTATCCTCGCCAGCGTGTTTCTGGCAGGAGGAGGGGCCTGGAGGAAACCCACACGGACTTGATGAGAACACGCTAACAGCATCCTGAATCAAAATGGGAATTTAGGAGCAGAAATACTGCCTATATGCATTATCATCTTTTAGTCAGTCAGCTGGGAATCTCACTTAGTAGAGCACTTCCACTAGCAATGCGAAGGCATAAGGTTTAATAACTATAAGCACACCTTGACCGCAAAGAGAGCTGTGGTCAATTGCTTCTTTGAAGAGACCCTCCTTCTATAAATGGATTCAATGTGGATCAGGGTGACAATGAATAAACATGATTTTCATAAAAGCCAATAGGCAGCTCTCGCATAGCTTCATTTTGCAAAAGCCCCCTTCCCCACTCCCCTAGACAATACCTTTTAGTCTATTTTCGTCAAACACAACTGTGGAAAAACCGAAAATTTTCAGCGAAGACTTAGGTTTGCAATTTAATGTTTCTGTGGCTGCAGAATTTACTTAATTATGTTTTACATGTTTGTTTAGAAAAATGCTATTATTAAGGTCTCACTGACAATGCTGTGGTAGGTTTCATTTCCTGGAGATAAACCAGAAGAAACGAAGCATATTCGCAGGCAGAGAAAGAGGAGTCTGCTCACCTTGTTGTACAGTGTGCTGACACGCGGGAGATTAGTGTGGAGGTTAGGCAGAATGGGGGTGGACAAGTGAGTGTATGGTCCAGGAATCAGACAGCTGATGTGAGAGAGAGACAGAGGGGCCGACAGAGACAGCCCCCCAGGGAGCAGGCCAGCCTGGCACAGGTGGTGATGGAAGGCAGGGTGAGAGACAATGGAAGCCAAGAATGAAGGTGGCAGAGACAGGTGCTGTTAGTAGAAAAGGGAGGAAAGCGAGAGATTCAGAACTCTGCTGCTGTTAAAACGCTGCCATGCAAAGGCTGAGAGGGATAGACACGTTTCGTTTTTTGTTCCTGTGGTTACAGATAAATACTTATAAATACTGAACATGTAAAAGAGCTTAAACCAACAACAATAATTGTCAGAATTTGTTTTTAAGTATGTTAAGCAGTTTATATTCAGTTATACTTAGTCACAATTTTAAACACCTATTGAAAAGAAACAGCATTCTCTGAAGTGAACACTGTACAGTACCGATTTTTCCATTCACTTTTTAATGTACAGTCTAAATGAAAGTCCACAATGTACATTGGACTCAATTCTGATGTGTATTCCGCTTGAAATAAAGATACCCTATAGCACAATACATCCACATGTCAAAAGATGATGATCAATTTTTATCCTGATGTGTAGTGCTCACCTGCCCAGATTGACAGTCCTGTGTTGGTATTCATTGTCCATGAACAAAAGACTAGGGTGGCTGGATGTGGTGTGAAATGTTTCAGAGCAGATACTTGATGAGTGTCATGCCTTGGGATTATACTAGGCACGGTGACACTGGATTTTTCTAGGTGCACAGGCTTTATTCTGACCCAGCATCACTGACACCCGGACAGACATTGGAGTCATCACTGAACATGGCAGTGATCCGAAAAGCACTGAGCTGCATGACATCTGTCTGCAGCCTCTGTTGTGAAGATAATGTTTCACCACTGAGTAGGGTAAGGAATTGCTTACTGGTATACGAGTTGTAAACTACACAAGTACACAAGTTTGCTTGGTCTGAAGTCTAGTCTACAGGCACGGCTGTTCTTTGCATTTTCAGGTCAGTTTTAAACTTTTACAGCCTGTGTGCTGGCAGCAGACCTGTCAGTGAGGAATCTCCCAGAATTAAACAGTACATTCAGGTGTTCCCTTTCAACATCCCCCTTGTGAACTGCCCTGTTATTTTTCTCAAATTACATCAAGACTATAGGGAGTAACATGGCAATAGTTTTAAATTCATAACACTACCTTGGAATTTCCTTCTCAGTTGTATGAAAGCAGAGTCTGACACATTTGTATTTTTTCCCGATCAGTGTAGATTTAAATTCTAAGACAACAGCTTCTAATAACTTCTGAGCAGTGAAGCACTGACGAGCACCACCTAGACTGCAGCAGATGGTTCGAATATTGGCAAGTGTAAAAGCATGGAAACAGAATTCATATACTGTAGTTCAAATATTACAAATGTTCTAAATTGTATTTTAGGTCTCAGTCATATCTTATTTTAAAATTTCTATATTTTTATCTGCTTTAACTAGAGTAAGTTTATCTTTAAACCATAAACCAGGCTTTTAAGACATAAATACATCCATATGTCAAAAGAGAGATATTACAAAATGTTTGAGTCATAATACCAGGTGGAAATTGACTCTTCTTCCAGAGGCGATAAAGTGCTAAATAAAAAGCTAAGATGAAAACTATTGATTTCAAACTTCTTTTATAAGTGTAATTGTTTGGAATTGAAATGGTTGGTGGGAAAAAAATAGCTCTTATGGTGTTATTTTGCAGCTGTGATTTTTGATGGGCTATTTCATCTAGCAAACTGCTATTTGATCACAGCAGAAGTTAAAACTATACGTCTGACTGCAAACTTCACTATGGCTACCAAATTGCTGAATAAATAAACAAGACCTGAAACCAGAGGACGTGCTGTATTTTAACAGATGCAAGCAGCTTTGGGTTTGCCACATTTTGGCAGCAGGGGGCATCAGATATTTTTTTGCTGCAGAAGAAGTGCACAAGCCACAGGAACTGCGGGAGAGACTCTTCAGGACTCAAACGGACACACTTGGCAGCAGTCACCATTACTGTCTAAGGAAAACAGTCGGAGGTGAAGTTACATCACCCATCCCGTCTGTTAATTCTGCTACTGCATCCATCAAAGCCTTGTGTGTGTGAATACTTAATTCTCAAACTGTTCAAGGGTTACAGGAAGGGAAATGTATGGGGTAGATAGCTGCATATTATCTTCATTGGCACTGCGCACTATATACTTACAAACTGTATACAGTCTTTTAATTAATTATGAGGAGCAGCAAAGCTTTTCTCAACAGATTTGAAGAGCGAAGATCACGCTTTTGTACGATGCTCACCTTTTGAAGCTCTAGATCAGTCATCTCCTCTAGATACTGCCTGAAGGGGTTTGGATGGTATTCCTCCTCCTCTTCGGGTACTTTTGGAATAACAGGCACAGGGCGTATCACACCAGGCTTGGTCTGCAGACATTACCGAAATAATGGTCAGGATAACAGTCACACAAGTTCACAAGCAGTGAACTGAACAGATCTATAAGAACAAAATGCCCTTTTCACATATTGTTGTGCCCAACTGATTCCAATATAAATGCATTTTAAGTTAAACTGAACAAACTAGCACAACTGCGTATTATCAAAGATTATGCTTTAAATGTTTCATCGTATTAAAACTCTAAAGTTTAGAATCATTCAGGATGTTAGTAAAGCCAGAGGCTGTGGGACTTCACATTTTCAATTAATATTTACACTGAGGGAACAATATCTGTTTAATTACCAGAGAAGAAATTAAACAGATATTTTTTTTTTTTGTCTATATGTCTACCTTTTGGTGTTATAATAATAATGATTATTATTATGAACTCTGAAGATGTTTTTACTTAGAGGCGACGAAATGACACAACCAGTAAAGTTGACTAGTTAAGAGTGTAGCTTAAACTCTGCAGTCCAGATCATCACGCTTTAGGTTTAGCTGGCTGAGTGTGAGCAGCATCACCTCACCAGGAGTAATAGCACACTGAGTTTTAATACACAGTCTCCTGTGCGTGCTCACACAGTGGAAATGGCTTTGTCCTCGGTGTATATTCTGGAGAGGAGCCTACAAGACTTCAGTTCTTCCTCCTCCCAAACCAGCACCAAAGTCGCAGCAGTGAGTCGTTTTGCTTGTTAAATTATTTTTGCATCCTTTTCTCTTGGAGATGATGGGTTTCAAATACTTTCAGGGGCTTTTTGCTTGTTAATCACGTTTTTGCTCTGAAGCTGGGTTAAACAAAAAGAATCGAATAAATACCCACCAGTTGTTTTGGAGCACAAGCCGGTGGTAACAGATGGGACATTGCCTGTGAGAATAATAATATTAAACAATGCACTGGCATTAACCATCTTCCCAAATTTGTGCACTTGCATGTCTCAAGTTTATCTCCTGGCCTTCCTTTAGGTCTTTTAATTAAGTCTGTATCCAATTTAATAACATTAAATGAAACATACTGTGTTTTAATGTGTTTTATATGCATCCTTAAATTTTGTCTCAGTACAAAAGTAGATACTTAATAGTACCGCTTGCACTGAAAAGAGTTTTAATTGCATTGTCACTATGTCATTGTAATTACATGGCCCGCCCTCTGTTGCTAAGCTAATGAAGCCAGATACATTGCACAGGTCAGCGAGGTAAAGCGAATTGTTCCTGAACTGCTTATGTGGCAGGACAGGGAAAGTGAAGAATGAAAAAGCACTGCAATCAAATACAGGAAACAGCTTCTGAATTATACACAGCAAAAATGAGAATGCACAGCTTAAGGCTACACTTCTCTATAAGACTCCTGCAGAATACAATATACAGTGTAGTGACATTCTTCATTTTTTCAGTGGGATTTTCACTTATCATATATTCATGCTAGTGTCTGAAAACACAGTTTCTACCCCAATTCTAACCTAAAGATGCAAGTTCTCATATATAAACTGCTGTGTAGTTTAGAAGCAATGTCCTGTAGTTTTCATGCCCATTTTGTCTCCTGGTATTCTCTTTCTGTATTAGCTGTTTGATGGATCTCTGTTTTCACCACAGTGCTTGTCATAGAGTCATTCCACACTGTGGTAAAACACTAACTTCCTCACTCATTTGCGCAGAGTTTTCACTAACAATATATTTTTATTGAATTGTGCACTAATCTTTTTTCAAATGGCAGTCTGTTTTTCTCTGTCTTACTCTCCATATCTCTCATTTACAACCCAAATTAAATTCACTGTCTTCTCCCTGCCCTCCCTTCTACACGGAATGCCAGGCAGAGACCGACGGCATGAAATCACTGCTGGGGAGCTGGGTGCTTATGTTTTCTAAAAAGATTACTTAAATGCCTTTCATTTCAAGAAAGGAGCCTACACTGCATGGCCGAATGATGAGAGGCCCCTACTCAATACCATTCCTGGCACACGCTTCACGTTGATATGGAGAGATCAGGACTATTTTCGATTCCATCCACCAATGGCTGAACTGCAGCTTATCTGTTTTCCAACCGTGTTAAAGTCTCATGCGCTTGCTCCTTTACTGCAGTAGCCTCTCCACCCCCACACTCCACTATTGGCTGATGCTTTCTGTTTTAACCCTTGTACAGTTATGTGTAGCTGAGAGCCAGTGCTCATTGCATTTGCTCTACAATCTCAGCTGTTGATTCCCCTGTTAGCTGGCTCTCTACAATCACAATTCTTCCCAGTTACTCAGATCATTAATCCCATCTTGAAAGCATTACTCCCACTGAAACTGCTGTTTCCCATATATAACCATGCCAAAGAGCAACCAAAACAGTTACTGTATGTGACCTATCTTTTTTGCATTACATACAGATAAGGTTAAAGGAAACTATTCTCTTTGATGGGAATAAGGTTTCCTAATATTTTAGTCACGCACTGAAATTTGTTAGAACAGTGAGCATGTCTCTAAAATTCATCTACAGTTTTGAGTTTTATATAACATTTATGAAACTTTCTTACCATACTGTACTTATGCCTGTGTGCTCAACTGACAAACATTTTCAATCTGATGACACCCTACAGTATATTTCACCTGTGCACACGAGAGGAAGCCAGCCTGCACTTACACACAGTACCTGGTAGAGTTAACACTTACATATTTTGTCTCTCGTCCTGCAGACCTTGGCAGTGTTGTAAATTGCTATGGAGAATTTACAATAAAACAGTAAAAAAAACAGTTGTGCAGTAACATGAAATGTTTAAACTTTATATATGAAGATAATATAGAGGTTGAAACCATGTAAAGCTGTAACTTTTACAGATTTTGGATCACATCCTTATTTTGCCCATGCAGAGAAATTAACAGAAGAAAAAATAGAACAGAAATTAGTGAAAAATTATGTATGACTATCGATGCCACAATGAATTTGATTATTTTAGCATTATTAACTGCAGAGTGAAAAATTTGGGCAACACAATTCAGGCTCAGTGTATTAAAACTAAATAAGCCAGGTTTCTTTCAAGCAAAAGTTTTCAATAAACCATTTTTCATTAAATATAAAAAACTCCTGAAATCTACTGTTCACAGCTGAACAATATAAGGACAGTAACAGGTCTCTGATCTCATTGGCTTTCAATTGCCCATTAATTCAGAGCTTTCACCACCTTTAAAAAACAAATTACAGATAAATGATTCTGTCTCTGTAAAATGTACAATCTCCATACCATCACACAACAGGCTTTATAGAAGCAGCTCAGCGGTAGGTCTTTGTAAGACTAACCTTTTTAAATGTGGACTTTTAAAATGTTAGAAACACAATGTTCAAAAACAGGACTAATGTGAAAGAATTGTGCAAATGACAAGACAAAAAGCATGACAGCAGTGGTAAATACCTGCATTTCAGGTGAAAACTGTCTGTTCAGACAATATTAATTTTGAATTCGCTATAAATCAGAGTAATTTGCAGATGGCCACTAAATACATTTTTACAATTATCGAGCAGAATTTCAGATGCAGGATGAAAAGCACTTTTTTAGGTTTCTGTCAGTCTCAAACTGCCATGGTTCCCCAGACACCCAGCTAATTAAATAGTCTCTTAATTAAATATATATACATATAAATCACTATAATGCTCTATAGTACAAATATGTAATAATACAAATCCTATGTGCTCATAAAGTCAATAGCTACATCTTTCTATTATTTTCTGCAGTTAAAGGAAGTATGTCTGGAGCTCAGCAATAAAATTACTATACTGTATATGTTTGTCCAATTCTTACCTATTCATCTGGTACTACTACAAATAGTAGGACTGTGGATGAACTGATTTGATAGCTATTATATTTATATAAGTAATATTTACAAAAATGTGCTCGATACGAGTGCCTAAAAATATATTTTTTTGGAGAGGGGTGACTAATCAATCAAAACAGTGTTCCCTGAAATCGACCTCCTAAATATTGATGTGGATTTGCTCAGTAAAAGCACAGCAAGAGACACGCACGTAGACTGAGGATTGGGTGCCATACCTTCGGTGAATCAATATCCGACAGCTTCTGTAAGGAGGATGGAGCGGAAAGTGTTCGACGCTACAAAATGAGTTGTCATTAAGGATCAACAAACAGCAGGGTCATTTGCGTGTGAATAAAAGTAGTGGTGACTGCGCTCTCGTTACCATAGGCATGGGTTCTTCTAAGGCCTGATCGATAGCGGCGTACAGTTCCTCAGACTCCTGTCGGAGCTGTGCCGGAGAGCACATCTGTGAAAAGAATCATTATTAGAACAGTCATCCAGACTGCTGAAGTTATTTTCTATAACACTTATTGAATTTAGCAAACTCAAAGACACAAGCATCAACTGTAATACCGCAATAATTCAGCCCAACTTTAAATGCGTTTGCTCAACAGGTGGACTGAATGCACTGGGCAAAGCTAGTAATGATCAACTAAGAGTCAAGACGTTAGAACAATCAGCAGTTTTGCAATGATTCTTTTAAATGACTATTACTTGTCTGTTACTTGTTTTAAGGCACTTAGAATTCCTCCCCAATCCCCCACCAAGGCAAATCTCCTGCATGTTAAAACAGGCCCTGGTTTGTCACCCATCTGAAGGGTGCCTAATAAAAGAATAATGTAATTGCTTGGTATATTTAAATGTACCGATGGGTCGTTCTGCATCAAAGATGGTGATTGTCGGCCTTTTTTGGGTCTTTCTAGTTAAGAGCTGCAGTTTTCATTCTGAAAATTGTTTTTATTTCTTTGAGAAAACCTTTGTTGTCATAAATAAAGCTGGGAACTTCTGTAATTCATTAAAGTAATGTGTGAAGGTTCCTATAGCTCTGCTACCACAAGCAGGAATCACCCACAATGGAAAAAAATTCAGAATGTTGCTCTTAAATATTTTGGTAGGAATTATATATTGCATATTACCTCTGTGTGGGTCTCTGTCCTACGTTCATCTCCAGTGTTATCTGGAACCACCTCTAGTTTTTCTACTCTGTCATCTATTGCCTGTGATAAAAAAGAAAATGGTTACCAGGGATTAAGAACTCGAGAAACTGCCATCCAGGACAGCACACCAAGTGATCCATCTTACAAGTGCTTATTGAACGTATGCAGCACCGTACCGGTACCAGATTCCTGAGCCTCTGTGTCATGTCACAGATAGGCCCAGGGCTCTGTTCCTACTGGGCCTGTACCTACGCATGTTTCCAAGCTCTGGGTGGGAGTGCTCCTTCAGTTGTGTGTGACTAACCTGCTTTCAGGTGTGACTGGTGTGGCCCTGGATGGTACCTGCTCGGTGACTATTCCCAAGTCACCTTCAGTGTTCATTATCATGTGGCCGGAGACTGGGACACTCCTAAGTCATGCTTGATAGCAGTAATTTGCAGAAATTGATGGAAATGACAATTAATAACAATTAGCAAATATCAATAACATAAATCACATGATAACAATACTGTAGCTCTGTTAGTGCAAGAACTGTACACTTATACACAATGGTCACCCATTTTTGGTATATTTTTGGTATCATTTTATACTACACTGGATGCAATATAAAACCAGTTTGTGTTGAATGAATTACTTGCACATTTAATCAAGAAAGCAACAGAAACCTAAAAAAAGTCTCAAATTTAAGACACTCAGCTTCATAGCCATTAATCTTAACATTGATGTCTTGTTTCTTGGTCTTGAAAGATTTTTTTTTACATAACCTCTGAGCTGCTAACCTGCTCACTGATCAAAAGCGAAGTACAGAATGTGTTTCTTTCTTACAAATTTCTCAACCAGGGGAACATCTCCAGTTAGGATGATAGATTCAACCAACTTACCTTTTTTGTGTTCTTAAAAATGTTGTAATATTTAAAGCATCTGAGACTCGAAATCTCAAAGTTCAAAGTGTTCTCAAAAGTGTTCAAATAGAAGACTGATTTTGTGTCTCCAAGAGATGGAGTCATTTAGTTACTTTTTCAGTAAAGTACATGAGTCTCAGAATGGGATATCATTAGTACATTAAGAACTTTCTGTATGCCTCACCAGTACGGATTTAATTGCAGTTGAGTAATATGCATCTGAGTCATGGCCAATTCTGCAACACCTGGCTACACTAGAGCTGCTGTTCATTAATAATGATGCACCGTAAGTACTGAGCATGGGAGCTCTTACCCTGCTGGGGAAGCACTGACCTGCTGCTCCAGGAGAAGGGTATTGGTGGGAATGGCTGCAAGGGCTTTGTAGCTTGACTTGATCTTGTATTGCTACAGAGGAAAGAAGGTTTGAAGAGAAATAAATAGCCTGTCAGCAGACTTCAATGCTTTCTCCTGTTGCGGCATGAATTGAATCTGATTAAGCCTAAAGCACATTTTTAAACACACGTTATTCAATGCTTTTGGAGAATCTCTGATTTGTAGCTGTACTGTTCTGAACAAAAGTGAAAGCTGAGAGTAATTCTGCAGGCACTTTAGCATCCCGACGAAGGCAAACCTAAAAAGACATACATATTCATTACAGCGATACCCAAGAACAAACACAGCAAACAGAGAACTGCAATTTGTAATTGTTGAAAGAAAATAAAACACACAATATTAGTTGAAGAACATTTTCCTATTGTAGCAAAATCATGTCAATGATCATGGATACAAGAAACAAACTGTATACTATGTATGATGACAGACACTGTATGGATATGAAGGATTGGTTTTGAAGTATGTCTAATTTTCTAAATTAAAAAGATACATGCATGGGACAAGCCATCAAACCATGCGCCAATGTGCACAGTACCTTTCTATTCCTAACCTCACTTTCAGTGGACGAGGGTGAGAGATCTGACCTCCCACACTTTGGGGTTGGAGAGGGAGTGGCGGACGAGGAGAGAGGAGGTGATGGGACAGACTGGCCAACACTGTCACTGCATGATGCTGGGGAGGCTGTGAGAACTGGGCGGTTTGGACTAGTAGAGACTGGTCTAGGTGAGGGGGATCGAGAAGAAAAGGGAGGAGAAACAGAGCGTGGTCTAGGTGATGAAGGAAGCTTGCAAACAAGGTCACTGGGACTGAGCCTCTCTCCAGCTGAGACTGTTCTCATGCCGTTGTGCAGAGGAGCTGGTGAGTAAGCTTGGGGGCACTCGGGAGCAGGAGAAATGGTGACTCTTGGTGCCTGGAAGGGTACATGGTGCCTCTCCGAGAAGCAGGAGAGGGGGCGTAGTGTAGGGGAGGCAGTGCTTTGTCTAGTCAAGGATGAGCAAAGCACCCTGGAGTCAGGAGCTGGGGAGAATCCCCTCGTAGTGTCAGTCTGGTTCAAGGGCTTTTGAAATCCAGCGGTGGCTGGTCTGGGTGGAGGAGCTGGGGAGGGACGTGAACCACTGTGCTCTGGGGGGCAAGGAGAGAGACCCTCTCGATGAAGGTGAAAAGAGGGCTGATAGTCACATGCTCTGCGTGAAGGATTCAGCAAAGCATGAGGAAGAGAGAAAGGGATGACCTCTGCGGGGCTGGGGGGAGGAGGGGGTGTCTGGCACTTCCGGGACACTGACGCTGGTCTGTGAGTGCGTGCAGGAGATCTTGGGGGAGGATTGTCTACAGCACTCGGGGACTGCGGCCTTGAAACCTCAAAGGAGACCGACGTCAGACTTGAGGTGGCAGAGCTGGGATTCAGCGATGACAGGCTGGCTGGGCTGTGTATCCAGGAAGGGGAGAATGGCCTTTGCACTGATATATGTGGAAGATGGCCTTTCCTAAGTATAGCAGTAAGGAGTGAAAGCTGTGTTGGTGGTGTCTTGTGCTTTGACCTCACTAGTGTGGCACTCGGTGACATCTGGCAGGAGGATGAGGGAGTGAGGCTCTCGTGGCTTGGAGACCAGCAGTGAGGGGGTGTCTGTAGCAGACTAGGCCCCGACACTAAAGAGTGACGCTTAATTTGCATTATCTTTGGGGAGAAGACTCCAGATTTTATCGAAGAACAGGGAGAAACAGTGCGGCTGAGAGAGGCTTGCGATCCCTCGGAAGAAAACAAATGTAAGGCCGACCAACTCTTTATTCTGTCAGAGTCCTCAGACAGAAGTGATTCTTTAGAGGAAGGTGAGGTAACCAGCCTCGGAGTTAACAGAGAACTCGTTACGTCATCTGAAACCGGGGGGATTATTTCACTTTCACCACTACGTCTGTCAGAAGAGAAACTTGGGAGGACTCTGGCGGTGAGAGAAATAGGATCTCGCAGCTGGAGCACTGACTGAGGCTCATGATTAAGTGAATCTGTCGGAGTGGACTGAGCTCTTGGAATCAATCTGACTGAGTGATGTGATTCTTTCTTTTTATGAGCAGTGACTGGAAGAGTAGGAAGCAGGGCTTGGGTCGTGTGATCAGCAGATTTCAACTGAGAAGAGAAGAAACAGGGGGAAAAGATCAAATCCTTTCATTGCCAATGAATGAAAACAAAATCCAAGTAGCTGTTTTTCTTTATTTCACTGCAAGGTATCTTAAACGAACACCATATAATGCATAAAAATTCTTGTGGCAAAACTATTCTTGAAGGCACTGGTCTCCACATAATATATTTCCAAAACTTACATGTAAGGAAGGAACATGTTTTACTGGAACACGTGAAAATCCTTTAAAAAAAAACAATTTTTCACCAAACAAACAACTGGTGATCAAGTTTGTTTTACTCCTCAAAAAATAAACTACAAAACAATGAGGATATCAAAGGAAGGAAATTAGTAAGATGTTGGCTTACAGTGAAAAAGAAAGCTGGTTGTCACATTTAGAAAAAATATATTATTCACCTTAATCATGATCAGTAAAATAATTTCTCTCTTGAAAAGGACAAACTTTCAAAATTCAGTTTTTATGCTGAAATTTTCATTTGAAAATTCCCAGCTGCTTTTTACAAGTGGTATCTCAATTATCAAAAGCAAAATTTTGAATTTGAATCAAAAGCACAATGATGTAAGAATACTATTCAAGTGCTGTTAAATCTTTAAATACTTTTGGCATAGACTCTATTATGTTATCATTCTCAGCTATGGAACAATAATGAGAGCTTGTCCAGTGTGTAAGGAGGTGTTTGCACAATGCTGTCCTCACCTGAGTTTGTGGCCCTGGTTTTGTTGAGTCATCACCTTGAATCACATTTAAGTAATGATGTTCAGTATTATCCCCTCCTTCGTCTTCATCTGAATGGCCAATGTACACAACCTCTGCCTTGAAAACTCCATCTTCTAACATGGTCTCCTCAGTCGCCTTTTCTTTGTATACTCCTAAATACTGACATGAGCAGAAAGGTAAATTCAGTTTATTATCTACAGTAAATGCTTATACAGTATTGTGTATTATGTTAGCCAATTAAGTAAGGATTAAGGATTGTAAATATGACCTGTGTATTAACAAACCGTCACAAACCTTAAAAATAAATCAAGTCATATTATGCTCTTTTAGCTTCAAGAGTCACAGTCTGCCGTGACTGGGGCTGTTTGTATGCTACAATGGGAGATTGGATATACAGTAGGTACAGGACACAGAGAAACTTTAATAGACCTTTAAGGTATACAGCTTTTTTATAAATGTTTAATCTTAAATGTTTTACAAATGAGTATTATAATTATTTTTTCTGTCCTTTATCAAGGCAAAGGGGAATACATGTTCACTGTAAAATGTTTCACTTAATGGCTCAGATGTTAAAATGATACCTAATCTTTAATTACAGTACTTATACATTAATAGCTAAAATGTTCACCCTTAATTTATTCTTAAAATAATTCGGCATTCACAATATGCTCTTTTTCCACAAGAATATTATGTCACTATTATCTCATTAACCAAACAAAATATAATTAGGTAAATTTAAAAGAGCAAAAGTAGTTATGAATATAAAGGAGTGCACAGTGAAATTTGCCCATTTTCCAATTTGCACAGTGTTGCTCCTTAAATTTTTCAAAGATTACAATAAGCAATCACTCTGCACAAACTGATAAAACTGCAATTATTATAAAAAACCAGGCCATGCGGCAGCAATCTTAATCTTTTCCGGGTGCATTTAAAGACGTTTCTGAACATATTTTAAAAACCTTTTCGAAAGCACTGTGATTATGAGCCAACATATTTACATACCAATAACATACTGCAAAACGACAAATGTTAACGTATTCTTTCTTTTCACTTACATTTCATAACAGCAGAGGTATAGAGAGTACACATTTATAAAATAATGTATTTCATCTGTTGAAGAATGAAATGAAACATATTGTAAAAAAATGAATATACTATATTTTTTGCTTTAGGGCAACAATATTCTGAAGGCAATATATTTTCTTTATTCATCTAGTAACTTTGTAAGAACATTTTGACTAATGTGTATTTTTAAAAAATCTTAAATTGCCTGTTAGAAAGTAATTAAAAAAGTAATTAAAGAAAAGTAATTCAAGTACGAAAAACGAGCTATACTATATCTTGTTTTTGGAAAGTAAAATATTAAGAACTGCAGATGAGTTTTTCCATGCTGACATGAGTTTCTCTGTTGTGTTTGGGAAAAATACCTCGTTTTTACGCTGGGGTTATAATTCTTTTTGTTTACCATTATTCATTTTCAAGATACTTTATTCAACATTCGTGGATATTCTCAAATTTTGCTGACAATGAGTTCATTCACAGGCCTGTACTGTATCTAATTGTGTACTGATGTTCGCAATGCTCATACCTCGAGTGACTGCTCGTGTCTTCCTCTCTGCGCAACCCGAGTTTTAAGTGGCAGTTTCTTTACAGCTGGAACAAATGTAAAACAAAGTACCTTGGCCGGGGGTACTTCTGTCGGCACCTGTATTTGGTAAGAGAAACGCAGTTTTGAGTGAGATTCATGGGTTAAAAACCAAATTGCCCAGCAAGGCGTGGCCAGGCGTGGTTGTTAAAGGTTTCGAGAATGCTGACCACTACTACAAGTTTTTGCAAACAAGGAACGCTAAGGAGGAGCATACACTATTTTATCCCTGTTTGTCTCCCATTACTTATTGTCTTATTTCCCACACATCTATGATCATACAGCAAATACAAATACTACGGATCTAGTGGGACACATACCAAGTAAGATCATCATTTAAATTTTGTAGAGATTAACATCTCCTGTTTTGACTGGACAATGTATGAAAGAATGTTAACATCACAAGTAAAAAAAAAATCACCTTAAAAGGAAATGGAAAAAATGGAAACTAACACAATTCATGTACACAACAAACATGTTAGGAGAAAAAAAACAAATATCATAAGAATAATAAAATCTCTGCAATTTCCCTCACGGGATCAATAAAGTATCTATCTTAAAATAATTAGTATTGTAGTTACTGAAATTCTAATAATTATAATAATGTTAAGACAGATCTTAAAGATTAATGTGGGCTCAACATTTTTAGTAATAGGTTTCTCATTTTTCAAAATAATTTTCATTACTCTGCCCCATTTGGTCAGCTTTGGTGGAATTAATTATGTGTTGTTTACAGATTATTTCATCTGGTATTGGCATTTAGAAAAACGTGGGCAGAATGAGTAGAGTAATGACTGTAAACTGCTGTTAATTTCAGAAAGTCTCAAAATGAAATTTACCTTCAGGGTGCTACCAGAATTCAGCCTAAAAGTGCAGAACGCTGTCCCTGAACTCCAGTCGAGTGCTGCAGTTCTGCAAATTGCTTTGAGGTTCTTAAGCCCTGAATGGAATGTGTCAGAACAGACACTCTATTCACGTTCTGTGAACATGTAGGAGGCCAGAACATTTCCATCCCTGTTTGCATTTAATGGACTGACAAAAAAACTATTGTTAGGAGACAAACCTGCTGATGCATCGAATCAAACATACAGTATCTTCCAGAGAACTACTGTAAGTCAGTTTCAGAATGCCTCTGGTATTCTTTGAATAGAATTTTATTGTTTTATGGGTTTTTTTAAATAAAAATGCACAATTTCCAAAGCGTTTGAACTGGTTAGACTGGTTTATCTAGCACTCATGTTAAATGGTGCCAGACTCTACATGCTGTTTCATGCTAATAGCAATTGTAACAGATTCTTCATTTGTACACATTCCGAAGTTAAAGAAGCCATGGTTAGCATGGCTGCCTTGCTGCCCTGGGGCTGTGGGTTCAATTCCGGGCCTGGGGTGCTGTCTGCGTGGAGTTTGCATGTTCTCCCCATGTTCATGTGGAATTCCTCTAAATGCTCCAGTTTCCTCCCACCATCCAAAAATATACTAATAGGTTAATTGTCTTCTGACAAATGTGTCCCTGGTGTGAGTGTGTGCATGTCTGCGAGTCTACCGTGTGGTGAACTGGTGTCCTGCCCAGGGTGTATCCTGCCAGGGCAGGCTCCTGCAGCCCCAGGGCCCTTAATTTGATGAAGTGATTAGAAAAGTGGTTGGATGGAGGAATGAAGCAAAAGAAACGCTTCATTACATGAGCACAAAACTCTCTTAGGACAATTATATTCATTCAAACACTCATTTTAAACTTCAATCATTGTTTAATTAGAAATGTACCTACTGTAATTAAACTACAGTTTCATTGAATTTATGGAAGAACATTCAACTCGAACCAGCCAGCATATGATAGAAGCAAATTGTTGAACTAAAGTTCAGGGAAAGTTAAGAGAGCTGGAGTACGGAGATGTACAGTAATGGCTTGAGTGGGCAGTCAATTGGCCTGTATTTTAAAAAATGATTTGATGAAAATGAAAGTAAATAACTTTCATTAAATTGATACCAGTAGAGTATACATCAGACTAAATCAGTCTGAAATCAATTAAAGATTAAAAGGATTTGTAGCTGAATAGAGGCCTTCATATCCAAATTGCTGCTTGTGGGTGAACAGTCTGAACAAACAGATGAAGGAATGGAAATCTTTGCTTTTCAATGTAAGTTACATGTTGTTATCCGTGTGTATACTATATGGTCTATGGATTGGAAACTGCCTGCCTTTCAGAGAACCCTTTTCTTTTCAGTGTTCTAATTCCTCATAGATAAGTACCTTCTTTTGTTAATAAAAAAAAATCTTATATACGTTCTGTGTTGTGTTATGTTCTATTAATATACTATAGGAACTAGGCAAAACCATTGCAATTTGTCATACTTTAAATTTGGAAGAGAAAAAGGCACCAGAATCTGAACTGAACTGTTGCAGAGGATTAACTTAACACCTCTGTGGCTTACCCAAGGAGACGGCTAATCTCTCAAAGGCACATCAGGCAGGAAAGATGACTTTATATTGATCTTAGAAATATTAATTTCAGAGCCGGGCCATGCTTTGTCCATTCAAGGATGCTGACCTCTGTGGGTGTGGTAGTGAGACAATTTCCTGTCTCTTATTTTATTTGTTTTATGATGCTACTGAATAAGTGTAATTTACAGAGGTCCAGCTATTTGAAAAAAAGGTTTATATCTAGCTTCCTTTTCCTAAAAATAGGGGGCAGCATGTCTTTGTAATTGGTAATAAAACAGATTTTTTACTATTATTTCCTATATATTCCTCCCGTTTTCACTTTTAAAATGATACATTGCATGTACTGTACTAATGAGAAAGTGAGATCTATGCAATTTAATACATTATTATTGTATTCTTGTACTAATGTGCTTCTTAGCTTCATGGTGTACATTGTAGGTAAAGTATCATATTTGTATATCTTGAACATGTGATGATAGCTCTCAGTGTTTAAATATGACATCTGTTCCAGGGAAATCCAGAGATCATGTTTTAGATATTGTAAATGGACTAATTCATGCCCCAGAGACTGTAATGGATTGCTTTTTAAAAGTAATTTCCAGACAACACAGATCCCAGTGGATGGGAAGGTATTATTTCTCTGACAAACTGACGTTTAAGCCGAACCTTGCTCATAATAGATGGTGTGCACTCATGCACACGATGTTCAGGAGCTGGGCTGTCCCTCACTAGTGCCCATTACACACTGGACACTTGCAGAATAAGTTAGATCATCATGTTTGAAAATCTAATCCTCAACTACAGACCAGCAGAGAGATGTGGAGATTTTACAGCATCATTTGTATTTGTGAAATATCTGTGTTGGTCAGTGACTCACAGACTTTGAGCATGTACCAGGGCACAAGGCAGTCTCACCCTCGTCTTGGCATCAGAGACCCCCGTTTCTACATGTGGAGTGTGATCACAATGCATCCGATTCCTGATTGACTTGTGGACCCTCATGGAAACTTAAAATTATTTCACACACAGAACTATGTGTTTATAAAGTATACATTTACAGATCTGTAAAGAAGAGACAATATAATTGAATCCTTTTCAGTGATATCTCCAACATCCTAATAGATGTGAGCTGAAGGTTTTTAGTTGAGATAGAATTGCTGCATTTCTTCTTGAGTGATTGATCATTTTTGCTTTGTGGGTTATGCCTTGTATAGTTAATTCTGCACCAGAGCATATTTTACACTATAAAATAAAATAATTTTCAGTTTCTAATAATAACTATAAATACAGGAAATAATAAAAGGAGTAAAAAGATCTATTTTGTGTTTTATTTAGAGGTTCTGAATATGTTGTAATCACTAAGCATTAGAGCAACTGAAAGCCATGTGTCAGACAGACAATACTGAAGAGGTTGATTACAGAGAAGTATTCAGAAAAAACAACTACTACTAAAAAAATTTTACTACTCAGACTGTGAGCTACAGTGCTGCTAAACGTTTGTCTTTGAGAAAGTGTGGGAAATTAAATTAGTGGTGCACTATTCCATTAAGGATCCGTGGTAGCTCAGACAGCAAGGGCGTCTGGCTCCTGACACGAAGGTCCTGGGTTCAGTCCCAGGTAGGGGCAGGTGATGTAGCTCTAATTCATTCCAGACAGCTCCCAGTTCCACTCGGCCTGCTTTTCCAGTGAGTACTGGGGGTTAATCTTTCCAGGGGTAACAGGCCAGTTCACAGGTGTGATGCTGACCCCATCACCTCCGCCTCCAGTGCTGGATGGTTGAGAAACATGGTGGCCCTTGCCCCCATTCCCCGTGGGCCTTTATTGCCGGAAAAGGGACCTAACCTAACTATTCCATTAAGAATTCTTTCTCAAGTTTACAGGGCTAAAGCTCATCCCCTTTTCTGTAGTTGAGCAAATGAGTGTACAAGCTTCAACCTGGGTGGGACAGTAGCCTATTGGCCCCAATAATGCTGGTAAGCACCATTTCTTTCAGCAGTGTGAAATTAAATCACTCAAAGTAAAGTGCACAACCAAGCTCAAGGACCCAACAGCAGTGTCTTCACTCAGTACGTTAATCCAAGACCATCTAGTAAAGAGTGCAGAGTGCTAGTCACTACTACACACTTCCTCTGACCCTCTCATTGTGATGTTATTAATATCTCTGGGTCATAAACGAGAACAGAATAATCAAAACTAGCACAGTAGTGCTCTTTCTGTTCATAGCGGAAGCAGTTATCTCTTGCAATAGGATGTGTGTGCTTTGTTTTATGTGCTGTAAAAAGTAAAGTAGTCCATATAATTATTAAGGTTAGTGATGCCTTCTTTGTGACACATGATGTGAAATTAAAGCAGATAAAACATGTCTAAAATAATTATATTTCATTTAAGAACGTAACTCTCTACAGTATTAAATGCAGTTTTTTTGTGTGAAAATTTTTTCACATTTCTATTCCTGATTGTCCATTACAAAAATCTGTTCTTTGTGCAAAAGCATATCTTAATGACTCTTCTAAACGGTCTTTTTCATGATAAATGATTAATTAGGCAATATATGTTGAACTACTTGACACTGTGCTTTCATTGCAAATGTAGCATTCGTATTAATCATGACAAGTGCAGAATATGAAGCGGAATGACGGACTTAAATATTAAATGGGGAAATCTGTGCTGGTAAATATCTTTAATAAACTTCTGTTTACCTCTGTTTTCCCATGTGTACGTCCACACCCAGTATCTTTCTGTAGCTACAGTAACGTGCAAAGCAGAGGAACAACAAACAGTTGGAAGGAGTTAAAGGTTACGGAAGGCATTTCCTATCTTCCAGTAAGTACTGCTTGCTTTGGATGTTTAATTGCTCTAAATATCAGCAGGGTCATGCCTTCCCTGTAGATCACATTTCCAAAAGGGACTCGGGATAGAATCCTATCCTCTCAGCAAACAGAACAGTGAGCCCCTGGCACTTCATTATATCTAATATCCACAGTGCATGTGAACCCCGTTTGTTAACCTCAGTGAGAGATGAAAAGCACAGACTGTACTGACATTTAGTGTTCCCCATGTATAAGTCATGCTGTTCTGCTTTTGCAATGTTAATAAGAACAATTCCTCCCATTTTGTAGAGCACTTTTCATCTCGGTGAACCTCAAAGCGTACATGTTCTTGTAGGAGGAGACCCAATTCATCCGCCCTTAGACTGCAGCTCCCACTTGGGCAGCATCCGGCAGTCATAACGCACCGTTACTCAGGTGCAGGTGGTGAAGTGAAAAAATAATCTATCAAATGAGATAAGAGGGGTTCTTTAGGTAGATTACATTTTGTGCAAACCCAGATTGGAATTTAGGACAATGGGGCTAACACACTTAACTCATTTGAAACGTGCCTGGTGATCTTTACTGACTAAGTAGTCAGGACTTCAGTTTGACATGTCAGCCAAAGGATGGCACTTTAGTTGGGAAATTCTTATCTAGAATGAAGACTTGTCAGTCACCTCTTTTCAATCAGCAACACTACAGCAGACAGTTGCTTTTGTCTGCAGGTCTCCCATCCCTCCACCAGCCCGCCTCGCTGAGCTTCTCAGACATGATGAGAACAAGCTACAAGCTGGTAAACTCTCTGTCCTACATGTTCCGCTGGATGGTGATTTACCATCTTTGTTTTTCTTTCTACTGCCGTTTCCTTGGTTGCGGATATTGCTCTTCATTAAAAACGCTCTGATTCTGTCATGTTGTTTTTGTTGTATTTGGACACTTGCTGTATAGAAGCTCATCTGTCTTGTTATCCTTCTTCGAAACTCTGAGACGATATTAACAAGAGAAACTTAACAATGAAAATCATTTTCATATGATTCATTAAGAAATAAGCAGTTTTAAAAATGTGTGGCTACGTGTGCAGACACACAACTGCATATGTGCTACATTTTCAAGGTGCAAGTAGCAGGTGTTTCTTATTGTTTTACACACAGACTCACTTCTGCATTTCATTTGGACTTTTATACAAATGTTCTTGCTCTTTCAACTTTTAGAAAATAGATTCAGTTTTGAAAGGTTTTGTTTTCCAGTAGCAGTAGCTGTTAGGCACTACATTTACCTTCCTATGTCCCCTCATCATTTCATGTTTCAGGCATTCGGTGCAGAATGAACCGATTGCGAATTTAGAAATACATCGTTTTTATGTTCACTGTACATTCATCATGATGAATTTGTACTCTTCTATAGAATAAAAAAAAAAGTTTTGTACAAAAGCTAGGCCAAGAAGACATTTTTCCAAGGCTGCGGAAGATTTGATTTAAATTGAGGCGCACCTCATTGCTGAAAATCTGAAAAACAAGGGACCGTTTCAGAGGCTGAGTACTGTCCAAATGTGACTATACAGCAGTTAGATAATGTGAGTATTATTACTGAAATAACTGACTAATACCTAAAAGGACATTTTTAATGAATACTTAAGAGAAATCATTCCTTCACTGATGCTGGTAGTGGTTCTCCTACTGTTTATTCTTGCTGTCCACAGGAGCCAACACTCCGCTCCTCGGTTAAAACACTAAACATTGCTGTCTCCAGTCCTCATCCTCTTAAGAGAATAAACATTTAAGTTTCTGCAAATGTTTATCTCAAATAAGTAAACCACGTATAAAAATAAAGCTTCTTAAGAGAGTGTCAATAACTAAAATAAAGAACTACATTTAGTTTAAGTGAACTTCTGAGTCACTTGACCATCTATAAACCATACACTCATTAGCCTCGGGCAACTGCTGAAGTTAACTGTTCAGACGTTACCTTGTGAATGTAAGCAGAGAGACAAATTCAAACGTATGAAGTGGCACTTGAAGATTTTTCTGGGATCAAATTATTTTAGCTCATTCAACTGCACGCTGACAGTATCGACACCGCATAATCAGTATCATCAAAATTTGCTCCAAAGTTAAATTCAAATTACCAACGAAAACAGTAGGTTAAGGTTTGAGGTTTCTCACTTCACATTTCCTCTTATTGTTGTTCAGATACCCTTTCCATCCACCCCATGGAAATATGGATGACAGATCATTTTAAAGGGGTTGCAAAACGTTTGGTTGGTATCAACATTCAAGCCAGAACGTTTCTTTCCTCTCCATTATAGCAAAAAGGCACAGAGGACAAGAGACGCCGACAGCAGGGAGCAGTTGATGGACAGCAGGTGCCCAGAGGAAATTAGAGGAGGTGCACAAGAATATCATGCTAAATAGAAAATTCAGAACTAGAGTCTACATACTTGACATTAATGAGAATTATTAAAACGATCCAACCTTGTATTTTATGTAACGACTGGAGCTAGATTATTTTATTTCAAGAATGAGTAAAGAGTTTTATCTTACAGCAGGATTGTGCATGCAAGGTGAGACCCAAATGATGTACACACCTCTACATTACCATTTTAGGAAAGATTATTTTGGTAAATTGTACAGATATTGCACCGAGTGTGATTTAATAAATTAGACCAAGTACATATTCCTTCTCCCGTGTCCTCACTTGTACCCTACTTGTTTACTTATACTAATTTTATCTTCTGCTTATTAAAGGTTGACAGTCCTAACAAACCCATAACTGTAAAACCATATAAATCATTCTATAAGCATATTTCAATACCACAGTGTTGAAAAGAACACAGGTAAGAAAAGTCAAGGAATTTCAAACACATTTGGTCATTGTTGCTACTTAAAAATAGAAGATCCGTCTTTAATTCTGGTTACATTATAAATCGGTTGCTATTCCTTCAAATTTTCCAGAAATAATTCAGCACAGTTATGAATGCAGAATTTGATAAAGGCACCAGAAACCTCTTTGAACTGTCAAGGTCACAGAATCTTTAAGCCTGTAGAGCTACAACAACTGAGGCCCTGGTGCCCCAACAGCAGCAGCTGTACAGTCGTGTTCTCACAACTTTGGAAAAAACAATTTAACTCTGTTAGCCGTTCTCTCACCGTGTGGCCACTCTTCCCTGTGCCATGAAAGAAAACTGCTTGCTTTTCCCTCTCCATCGTCCCTGAAGCAATAACAGTTCCACTCTGTTTATCCCACTACATGTTGGAATGCACTGCAGTTTTCACCTTCTTGGACTGAAGTCGATCATACTGCCCCAGTGATAACTTCAGAGTGGTGCAGGTTTCCATTTATAGATATACAAAAGCCACAAATAGCTCTCAGACGGCTGCCAGCTTGCAGCAGGCTGATAACAATAATTATTGCACTATCATCAGCTTCCGACACTTTGACAAAAGAGATATGAACAATAAGCCTCTAATATGTGTGATGTTTGCCGATATTTTTCTGAGCTTGAATGTAAGGTTCAGATGTGTCGTCAGAATTGTGCAAGATAAAAGGACCAGCCACTGAAGAGCTGCTGTGTTGCTAACATCTTGATGACTCAATTTAAGGGTCTCAACTCCATTAAATCCACAATGACATGATCAGATAGTGACATGCTCCTAACTTAAAAGTAGGGCCCTCCTCTCAGTTTGATATTACTAAAGCCATAAAGCACATTGACACCTGCTATTAATATCACAGTGATGTTTTCCTGGTAACCACTTACAGTATTTAGTGTTTGATTTACATCTTTAGCAAGTAATATCTAAATTATTCACAGGCCCACTGAGAGATTATCACTTCAATTTAAAACCACTTTTTTTCTTTTATTGCAAAATTATGTCTTTTTTTTTTTGCAAACGTTCATACTGTATGTACATTGTTACGGATAGACTGTATATAGTGGATATTATCCTGTAGGGGAAATTTGATTCCTTTATTAAAACAAATAGGAAATTTAAATCTAGTTCCCTCTGAATATGAATATATGAAGTTTGGTTAGCGGGCCAAGGAAAAGGCTATTTAGGCCTTGTAACAAAATAATCAAATTGTATTTTTGACCTACTTTGACTTCTGAGATTTATTGAAGAAAAATTAGCAGAATTCCATTGACAGAGGGACAGCTTTAGACATATGCAGCACACACTTTACAAACTAATTCTAGATATTTTTGCTACAGTTTATATATATATAGTGTGCATACTGTATATATGCAAAGGAACAAGTAAGAGGTTTATTTCATGCTGAAAAGAGAAGAAAGAAAACACGTTTTGGCCGTGGAGCCTTCTTCACACCTGAAGAAAGCTCCATGGCTGAAAGTTTTTTTTTCTTCCCTTTTCAGCATGAAATAAACCTCTTACTTGTTCCTTTGCAGCCTACGCATGCTGACGCAGCTGCCCACCTGAAATACTGTATATATTATTTGTAGGATACGGTATCCCATATTGAAATGGCTTGTGGATTACCAATTCATAGACACCTGGTAGCAGTGGTAGTGATGATAGTAGTAGTAGTGGTGGTGGTGCCAGGAAACTGTTTGACCTGGAAGAAGGGGTGTCAGTCCCAGTGCACCGAATGAGCACAATGAAGGGACACCAGTTGACCTCTCCAGCATGTCTTCAGAGGATAGGAGGAAACTGGAGAACCTGGAAAAATCCTGCAAAACCGAGAGAAACGATGCAGACTCCACCCAGAGTTTGAAATCCGGCGCAGGGCCCAGGAGCTGTGACACAGCTGTGCAAACTGCAGCTTCGTCTCGCTGGACCTCTGCTGCTTATCCAGCCCCTGTCTCATTGCAGCATCCCGCCCATCCTGGCAAGCAATGGGCACACACACACTCACACCAGGGCCGGTTTTTCCCTGCAGCCAATTAACCCACCAGTATGTCTTTGGACTGCGGGAGGAAACCAGAGCACCCAGAGGAAACCCACACAAACCCAGGGAGAGCATGCAAACTCCACACAGACAGCGCCCCACGTCTGGAATTGAATCCAGGGCCCCAGCACTGCAGGGCATCGAGGTGGTGCCCATCCCTCTATTCTACTGTGTCAGTAATATGCTCATTATTTGTCTTCTTATTTTGTGACTGCTTATAATATGCGTCAATGGAAGTGGCTTCCAGTGTGGGATAAAATCCTGCTTTTCGCTGCTACACGACGGCACTCTGTATGAATTATTCCAACCAACAGAGGCTATACATCCTGGAAGCACAGCAACTTGAGATAGAAAATTGAGAACAGTTCTAACATGATGATGTTGGCTTAAAATCTGCACTAACAGTCCTGAAAAGAAACTATGGGCAAATTTGAAAATCAATCAGAATTAATTCACAAATTCAACTGTAGTCTGTACATTGACAGCTTTACTGTGTGTAAACATAGTGAAATATCATTATGTTACCACAGCAGAAAAGATAACAAAAGTGTATGCTTCTGCTTTGTGAGGCTTGTTTCCTTCTATCTGATCCTAATAAACATAAACAAAAGTGTCTTGTTGTTTTAAAAATTATAACAAATGCTGCTTAATAATATCCCAGTCCTCTTGTGCTGCATTCTGCTGCTCCAGTTGCATCTTCACCCAAGAACGCCCTTCACGCAAGAACAGAATCCATGTCGAGCAGCTTCGGGGTATCGGTGTCCCTAAGGCAGCCCGTATATGAATGCTATAGTTCAATTCTAGCATCATCAATAAAAATAGTAAGTAAATGTTCCCTTTTTCAGCGAAGTTCAAAATAATGAATCATAAATGTTTTGGACTATGCTCAGCAGCCTATTTACCTTCTGGGACTCGTGCGTACAAGCTGAAAGCGGAGCTGAGCAGGGGATGTCTAATCCCAGAAAGAGTCACATTCCGGTTTCCCACTGCAGCTGCTGCTGCCCGTCTCCGCTCGGCCTCGGCTGCCCAAGGGTACGACGGGCAGCTCTGAGGCTGTAGCGCTGGCATGACAGTCATCCCTGACAGCGAGAGTCTCTGACACACTGCTCTCGCCTTTTCCCTCTGTCAACGTCCCTCGTGCCCAATTAGACACCTGGTGTCCAGAGAAACCAGCCAGGAAATGTGGAGAAACACACAAATGCTCAAGACTCAAACCTTGAACTTCTTATAAGCACATCCTAGTGTATAACACTTTCATTTTTTGATAGCACTTTTTTGTGCATATGAAATATTATTAAACAACTGAAGTATCTACAGTACTAATGTGTCCTTAAGCTTAAATCCTGAATAAGTTTCATGTCTCATTCTTTAACAGTTGGGTTTGCGGGGTAGAATTGCCTAATCATATTAATATATTCATACAATAATTCAAGGCAATTCGCGATTGCTATGAGGCCTATGATTCTGGCAGGCATCTGTAATGGAATAATCTATGCAATGATGACAAAGGAAGGAGGGAGTTGATACATTTACATCATGAGCCCTACCACAACACCCATCATTATACAGAATCTCTGCTGCTAAAGAGCAACTCTGTGATTGTAACATTACATTGCAACAGCAAAAACACACCCACCGCCACCCTAGAACATTCACCACAGATACGTCCTGAGAAGACATGTATTTAGAGCACAAACTGTGGGCAACGAACTTTTCGTGCAAATACCTGGTTAATCACAATCATTTCAGCGGGAAATTACAGTAATATAATATTACCTACGTGAACCGTGAGGATTAAAGATCCAAACAATACAGAGCACTATGTATTAGGTACTGTATTTTCTTATTTCAAATTGCCAATTGTTTTTGGCACTCAAACCCACTTTCAAATAGCCAATTGTGTGTCCATGTGTTTTTCCATTTCAACTCACAGCTTCAAATCCATTGACCACACACAGCTCAGAACAAGGGAGTGTAGGCAGACTTCTCCAACACACTCACTTTGGAGACATTCATCTTTTCACATGCTGTATCACAGGCAATACAGCCCAGGCTTGAACCCATGACCACAGAGCTCAACCTACATCCGGGCAAACCTTTTTAACTGCTTGAGCCACTTGGAAGGACTTAATGAAAGATCCAGAGTGAATAAATGTTTTTCCTTGACTGTATATTCCTAGGTTTAGTTTTATTGTTCCAGTGTATAGTTGCTATTGTTGTATAGTGTTGACTATACAGTAGTTGGATGCAGGGTGTAAAAAGTTAAGCCTTGCTTTGCACCTGTATGTCTGAGTAGACATGGGGACAATTTTCTTCCCCTTAAAACGGATGTCTGGCTGTATATGGATGGGTGAATCCAGTCAAGTGTGGTGGCGTTCCAGTGAAAGAAATGGGCAGTTCGTGTAGATAATTAAGAGAAACAGTCTTGAGTGGGAGTTCATCTGTTCTGGCTCTTCTGGTGAATTTCTGAAGAGTTGACCCACAAGAGATGAAGAGGAACTGAGAAGACTTGGCTAACAAAGCTGTTTTATGGGCCTGAGCAGGCTTCTCCAAAAGAGTGGTACATCAGAGAAGCCCGGAGGGGCCCTACACACCAAAGACAGAACCCCTTCATGTGCACTTCAAATCGGGTGACATGCCACAATATGTTCTTGGGCCAGCATTTATTACACCTGGATTCTCAGTGTGGATATCCTAATTTACATACTGGGAAGAAAAATAGTGCAGCAGTTGCTCAACATCTAAAACTTCATTTGAATTTTAAACACAAAAGATTAGGACAAAAGGCTGATGTTCCTGCTCAATTTTGGGACTTTGGGATTTAGAGTGAGTTTTTTCTCCTTCCACCAATTGCTTTTTCATGCCTTCTGTTTTAAGTAAATTCTGACCATTTTTCACTCAGGCACCGAAATGCCACACTGAAATAATTGCAGTCTATTTTCCATTTGTTTGAAGCACCTTCCTTGCAAGGTCAGCCCAAGAAGAGAACTAAAAAGTTGTCTTGAAGTTTTTGGGGAAAAGTCTCACACAGCCAAGCCACTGCTGAATGCTCATGTGTAGCAGAAAGAAGCTGCTTTTAAGTTCTCCCTGCCTACATGAGTGAGTGAGGTGATGGCTGAATTGGTGGGAATCAGAAAACCACTCAACAAGCAAAACTTTCATTTGTTTTATAGCTTTTGAATATAACAGACCCAAATAAGGTGAAATATTGTTTATCTACTTGAAAATGTAATTAATTTCAAAATGCAGAAACTAAGTTAAATTCTTAAGAAAATGTTTCAGAAATACATTTACATGTTATGTCACAAAATTCAAACTTCAATACAGCCACTCATTGCAACTGCATTCTGGCATAGTCTTTTCTCATAGTCCTTCATACAGTACTGTATGTACACATCCCCAGTTCTAGTAATTCTAGTTCTCTGTTAATGTTATAAGAAAAAAATAATTTGCTTTTTGCACTTTGCTAGTGGCTCAGCCGTATGTTCTACAATACACAATGGAGATAAAAAACTGCAAATACTGCAGGAAGTTTGTTGGAACTTTCTTTCAAGACGTGTCATTTAATGAGCAATATACTGTAAGCATGATAGTTGGATTAACAACATTTTTTTACCAAGTACAATAGTACAAAGAACAGTAAGGCTTGGATCAGTGCATATCTGAAAATACAAAAATTATTTTATACAAAAAAATTTTTTGTGTATATTTATATACTTACATATGAAGTTTTATTCATTATTCAATATGGGCTACATCATCTTTTACTTTTTTTAAAGAGAATTAAATCAGTGCAAAGAAATACTCATTTCAATTTTTAAGCAACATAAGATCTTAGGACAGATTTCTCGGCAATTATTCAAACAGACACAGAAAACTGGATGCATAATCTCTTACAAATAAATTACAAACATTTTTCAGATCTCTCTGCACATAATGCTATTGATGTTACTTGCTGCTGTCGCAGAAAAGTATATTCTCCACAGTTCCTGGTGGACGACACATCCTTCTTTTTAAATTCTTTCGATGGTTGTCTCTGAAACATCCACCTGAAAAATTCTGTTAAAACGCATTTAAAGGGTGACAGTGTGAACATTTTTAAAGTTACTTTAAATTGTACAAACTACAAATAAAGCAGTTTTTTCTTTATAACATTCGGATTCGGTCTAGGTAGACAATTTCCATATCCAAGCCGCAGTTGCCTATCAAGCTGAAGCTTATTCCAGTCTCCATGGTGCTGGGCAGACAAAAGAGCACGTGACTCTCCTGCCTGGACACCACACCCAGCGGGTCTCCTCCATTTCTACAGCTGGGTGAACTGGAGCAACTGGGGTACAGCACCTCACACCAGACGACAGCAGCATCTGCAGTGGTGACTTGAACCCACAACCTATCAGTCATGGGGCTACCCACTACACTACCCCACTCCCCAGTTCAGTGTAAAAGAGAAGAAAATAAAAAAGAAGCACTTCTTAGACGCTGCGCCTGCACAAGGTATCTTGCTCTGTGTGCCTCTAGGGAAGGTAGAACACACTAGTAGAGCAGCCTGAAGACGTCTGATTGTCTGCGCTGTCTAATTCATCGGGTTCTTCTTCCACGGGGTCTTGTGTTAACTGTTCAACATCTTCATCCGAGGTAGAAGGATGGGTGAGGATAATGCGAGGTATCTTGGGAATGACAGTTAAGGGAGGTGGATGGGGAGAGGAATTGGAAAAAAGACATTAAAGACGGTGTACAGTGTGTTCGTCCTCCAGCAGTGTCAAGTGCAGACAAGAGAACTGTATTTGCTCAGGAGATGAAATATGGAAATAAAACTGACAGTGACGGATGATGACAGGCTTCTGTGGAATCAGAGGAAAATAAATAAGAGCTGCAGCAGATTGCACGTGGAGAAAGAATACTGAACCCAGAAATGTTTTTGGCTTTAGAAGAATGAATAACATTATCTGATCTCTGTCTGCAGTTATAAAAAGCACAGTGCCAAAAATAACAAAATGCCTTTAATTATTCCGTAGATGATTGATTAAAATGTTAATAAATGCTGCTTTTGCATAGAAGTTCACATGAGCACAAAATAGGATAGCTTATAGTGGCTGTCTGAATTCCTTGTACAGTAGTTACCCTTTATAGCAGTGACACAAAGAGCTGCTTGAAAGTACGTGAGCCCTTCATCTTTCATATATCTTAGACAAATTATCTTAAAAAACCTTTTATCTGACTTCTAATATTTACTGAAGATAACCCAAATAATGGACACACATCACACCTGAAGAAGGCTCCACGGCCGAAACGTTGTGTTCTCTTTCTTCTTTTTTTCAGCATGGAATAAACCTATTACTTGTTCCTTATGAAAATATATGTTGCTTCGTAATTCATTAAAAAACATTTAACAGAAACTCAATGATCCCTGTGTGCAAATGTAAGTTCATTTATATATAGTGTGTAAGCAGTGGCACATCCTTAAGCAGCTCTGACAGCAACCAAACATGTCCTATAGTTACTAATCAGTCGCTCGCATCTCCTCTGAGGAATTTTTGTCCATTCTTCCTTACAAAACTCCTTTAGAATTATTGGCTGTCTTGCATGAACAGCTTCAGGTCTTTCCACAACATTTCTATCAGGATGAGATCTGGACTTCGATTATGTCATTCCAAAACATGAAATTTCATCCTTTTAATCCACTTTGGTCGTTTTGCTGGAATGTTTCGGGTCACTGTCCTACTGGAGGACACATTTTTAGGCTCAGCGTCAACTCACAGACAGAGGACCCAACCTTCTCCACCAGAATATTGTGGTGTGACCAACAAGCCTAGTTTAGTGGTACAGTAGGTTCAATTTTAGACATATCTGTCCAGAATATCATATCTGTCTCTTCCAAACTTCTACAAGATCATCCCAATGGTCTTTTGCAAACTTCAGATGATTGTTTTTTGAGAGCGAGGGTCTTGAGAGGAGCCCGCCCTCCCACGGACGCCTTCAGCTTGTGCCGTGCTGTTCAGGTGTGACCATGGACATCAGCTGCAGCAGGAGGGGACTTGTGATCCCGGAACGTGGTTCTGGGATTCTTCTGGACATCCTAAAGGAGTTTTCTTATTGCTCTGTGGGATCATTTCGATAGACATCCACATCTAGGTCAAGTCACCAAGGTCTTAAATGTTCTCCATTGGTGTCTTGCAGTAGACTGATTCCAAACTGCTTTGCTATGGTTTTATCTCTCCAGACTGCTGAGCACTTTCCTCTAAACAATACATAGAATATTTCGATATAAACCCTTTCTTTTAGAAACTTAAGTGTTAGTTTTGATAGACAAGGATTTCATAGTATAAATGTGAAAAACTACACACTTTCAAGCAGCACTACACTTTCTCAGACACTTCATGTAGTTGAAAATGTGTAAAAAACACACCGGTGTGTGTATCTCTTCAGGGGTATGAAGTCAGTGCAGTTCCGTCTTAGAAAATTAAGATCTGTGCTTTGTAACAGGGACAGTAAGTTTAAATTTCAAGAAACAAGTCCTCAAATCCCAAACTACCGTGAATTTGTGAGTCCAAACTATTCCCTTTTTAAATTAACTTTCTCTTACAAGGCTTTAAAAGAAAATCACACACCTTACATAGATACTATACTGTATGTATATTCTTCTAACAGGGCAGGATTAATAATTAGTCAAATGTAAAGACTGAAAAACACAAAATGAAACATAGAAAGGTATATAATGTATAAAGTCCATATAATGGACATGCTGTTTTAAATGTTTTTATTACAATAACCCTGTTAAATTGCAGGTTTAAGGTCTGATTTCTTAAACATGTAATTCATATAATCTCGACATTATTTTCAGTGTACTTACTGTCATGGTATTCTGTACCGTTGGGAACACATTATTTTGGAAGGCTGCTTCTGTGTCACTTGCAATTCTGCTCTGGTCCTCCTCAGACTCAGAGAGACCCTGGAAAGCACAACAGGACATTAATGCTGTACATTGGACAGGAAAGAACTCACCGGGCTGATGAAACATTCGCCAAGCACAGAGCCTGTGTCTCCGCCTGGTGGTCAGGAAGCGCATTGCTTTTTAAGTCCACGTGACTGCTGAAATGCAAGGTGGTTAGAAAGTGAACACAACAAGGTGGCCAATATCAGTGTGGTCAATTAACTAGTCTGTGACTCTTCTGATTATAACAGGGACACCCGTGCCAAGAGCTGACGATCCAGACTGCTGCAGGTTTTCTAGTTCTGTTAACAGTTAACTATAACAGATGCAATCAAGTTCAGTTGGGAAATCAATAGCACGAATGAAATTAAAACCAAACATATTTCTGGCTCTTCAGAACCATTTGAATGGGATTCTTTCACAAAACATCTGTACTGTGCAGTGATTTCCCCCTTCTTTATTTCTGATTTATTTTAATTTTCTGCTTTTTTTCTCCCAGGTCGGTAAATTGAGGTTTGAACCACTGCAATAAAGACAGACACTGTGACTCTCACTGGCCAACACTGTATTAAAGATGAATCAAAGACATTTGTACAATCAGGTCATTTTCCTTAATCACACATACAGGTATGCTTTTTTTAAACCAATAACATGGAAATCACTATATAAAATAACATTTAAAGTTTCTAATAATAACAAATGTGGCAGGGTGGCACAATGATTGGCATTGCTGTACTGGGGCCCTGGGTTCAGTTCCAGACTGGGCTGTTGTCTGTGTGGAGTTGCTACCCCTAACCTATCTAACCCATTCAGAACAATAATCCAAATGTTGTATAGATTTTACTGGCATTTCCTGCGATCAAATTATTATAATACCGTGAAACTGTTGGCCTTTCAAATTTCAAATTTCATTCATCTGTATCCATCTGCATGAATCAATGCTGAAAATGCTGCACCTATCTGGGAGACCGGCACATTCGAGGGGCAGCCGTGTCTGTGTGCTTCAGCTGAAAGGGTAGTGCACGACAGGTTCATTCCATGCTGAACAGCAGAAAAGAGAAACGCAAAGCTTGCAGCTCTACAGAATGGAATTAACCTGTGCTTGTTCCCTCTTACCTGGGAGAGTATCAGCCTCGACCCTTGTTTGTCAAATAACGAAAGTGTGAAACAACACAAACATTAACAAGCTCGGTAATGAAACAGGAGGCCTTTCGAGAAGCAGTGCGGTATATACTGACCGAGCCATTCCCATTGCAGACAGGAGTCTCCTTCATTTCGGATAGGCTGTGCTCTAAGCCCAGCTCCCTCCTCTGTGGAGAGCGCTGCTCACTGCACTTTCTGCCTTTGATGCTTTCTGTCTCCTGCACACTGGCGCTGTCTAAGCCGTGTGCTCTCTGTCGCAGCACAGTCATCTTGATGCAACTCCCAGCATTCCTCAGGGTGCTCACAGCTTCATGGTGGGAGACAGTCTGCATATTCACACCGTTCACCTGCACAGCACAAAAAAGCCATTTACTCCCGTAGTTCCTCTCCACTTCAGGTAGGGAGGGGTAGGTCGAAGATCAGGTCAAGGGCGGTGGTTCTTGTTATCCTTACTGTTATGGGTGAGGCTGGGTGTTTGGCTGGAGATAGGGTCAGGATTGAGTTTACCCACTAGAATATACCTCCCTTTGCTATTCCAGCCTCACACCGGAGAATGATGTCTTCTCTTTGTGGCCATTGTCACATGTTGTCTTATAAATATGGAGACTTAAAGTGCAGTAGCCACTCATTAATGTTTCACATTGTGTCCGTGAAAGGATTTTTGTTTCAAAGAAAGAGACTGATAAAAGACAGAAAATTGAAACCCCATCATCTAAAAGGAGAGAACTTGAAAGCTGTGCACTTTTCCATAATTATGCTGATATTTCCAGATTTATTGTTTTATAGTCCTCTTAACTGCTGAACAGATTCCTGCTAGAATGCTATCACAGAGCAAACTGCACTTTGCATTTTTCTAAATTTTAAATTTGGTTCTGATTTATACTGCCCCTTAGTGCTCCAGTGTAGACCTGCAACCTCAAGGTGTTGAAAAGAAGTCCAGATCAGAAGACAAAGCTCGAGAAAGTTTCTTAATATTGTACAACAAAACACAGGCACAAAAAATCAAGATTTAAAATGGGAAGCCAGGAAGCTAAACTTGTCCTGTCATGGAAACTTCAATGAAAATCACCTGTCTAAACTATACAAAATCAAATGCAAACATTTTTTTAAAAGAAAATCTATAGTAACACAATTAATCGCTGTGAATCCCATCTGGAACATGAGTTAAAGCCCTAAGTTCCTTTAAATCATTCTTGGATAATAACCCCAGCAAAGAAATTGCTGTTTAATGGGTTATACCCCAGTTTAAGGGGCTACAGACTCAAAGCACTGGATCCTGACACCCTGAGTCCTGGCGTCAGTGTGGGTTAGAGATCTTCCTCCCTGTACTGTACCTCCAGCAGTCGGTCTCCTACACGGGCTCCAGCCCTTTCTGCTGGGCCTCCCTTTGAAACTCTGGAAATGAAAATCCCCTGGGAAAGAAAAGGGAAAAGAGGACAGATTTCTGTCTGCACACTTGATATAAAGTCTGGTGGAATAAATAACACCGGTCCTAGACATTTAAATTCATATTCAAGCACAGTACAAGGTTCAAGTACAGTTTGGGTTCAGCTCTGTTTATCCCAATGACTGTAAGACACGTGAATGTACTTCTGCACCCAAATAACTGGATGTAAGAAACAAGGCTGATATACAGATGCAGCCATTCAAAGTACCGCGGGTATTTGGCTACGTCATCGCGCGTCATACCGCGGTACGTGATTGGTTGACCGACAGGGGCACTCGTGGTGCGTTGGTCGGTGGTAGAAAGATTTACTGTAAATGTCTTTACTGTGCCCGTTTAAGTATTGAATATTTATATGGAATTCTACCACTGATGGGAAATCTTTGTAGCTGAGCATAAAAAGAATAGGAGCATAACGCGTGTGAAGGCCATAAACGATATTCATTTTGGAACATAAACATACAGTATTACAGTCACAGCAGTATGGCTGGTCTCGGTACTTTAAAGAAAAAATACACACCAGTATTCCATTTCTACCTAAACATCTTAAGCATCGAAGTCTTTAACTAACATGTACCAGAGCCACCAGATAATATGAATATATCTGTAACCCTTATCTATAGGGCTGTACACTGAAAAATCCCTAAATAAAAAGCACTAATTAGATGGCATTTAAAATATTAATTATGGATATGAAATATCAGGTGGTGCTCTTTCCTTTATACCAGAATTTACAAACCAAAGCTCCAGTAAGATGACTGGTTAAATGAGCTGTAAGATTTCCTTTGCATGAGATGTCAAACTAAGGTCCTGACTACAAGATCAACATGACAGTTGCCAAATGAGTAGGTGTGTTAACCCCATAGTCCTGGCTAAATGCTACTCTTGGACTTGCACCATCCAGTTTTAATCTAAAGATCCCCTTGTAATTCATTTGCCGAAGCAGCTCATTTCACCACCTGCTCTGTGTAGTGTGGCTGCTGGTGCAGAGTAGCTGTTCTACATCGTTGATGGTGGATGGATTTGGGATCCTTTGGGATGAAAAGTGCTATATAAATGTAATTATTTTCTCCTTCTATATTATTATTATCATCATCTGCTGTTCTTCTAATTCAGTGTCGTGTGGAGCCGGCGTCTATCCCAGCGGTATGGCTGAACGGGACACCAGTCCCTCGCAGGGCGCACACACACACACCAAAGCCATTATTCCAGAAGTTCATGAACCTACAGTACCAGTATGTAGTACGGGGGGACCATACAAACTCCACACAGAACTAAACCCAGGGCCCCAGGTCGTGTGCACGTTTTGCTGCAACTCTTCACAATTCCAGTCTTCCCCATTTGTAATAGAATCGTGTTCTCTGGTCAGTACGCACGCGAGATCACACTCACCTCATCGTTTTCATTATAAGGCGCTGATCCCTTTCCTCCTGCAATGCTAATGCCAAGACTTCCTCTCTGACTGCACACTTTAATCTGCAGCTAGGACAAAGCAGTGACAACTATGATCATAGGTAAATGGCAAGTTCATTTTAGATTGGATTTCACTTTAGTCTTATATATTCAGCAAAGCATTTTATCTCTCCATGTGTACTAGAATACATTCATTTTAACACCACGATTTGATCTCTGAATGCCTGTAAGCAAACATCAAAGTAAAATGGCAATTTTAAAGAACTGGATCTTACCTTTAGCGGCACTTTCGAAGTTGGCTTGTCTGCAGGGCCTCTCTCTGGAAACCCCCCTTGGCCATTCTTTTCTGCAGCTGCATTGCATGCTGGGACAGAGGAGGGTAATCTGCGATTGCCGAGGCCCCCGGGAAAGGCTCGGGGTTTCGGAATTCTTCGGTTTTCCCGGTGATCTCCTTTGTGGTGCCTGTGCCTCTTCGGCCCATATTCCGGATCCGAAAAACTCAAAGAGAAATTGGCAGCTGCATCCTACGGTGGGAGTCAGCGTGTGAGGGGAGGCAGGAGAGAGTGGAAAAAGAGCAGCGTGAATTTATTCTCAAGACTAATCCTTTCAAATCCTGAATTGTCAGGACATATCAGTAAAGAGGATTTGCTGTTGTAGATTAAATAGTTTTTTATTAATAATAATAATGTATTATTTTCCCTAGGGACTCTATTTGTTTAGAAGTAATGGTCTGTTTTCCATTGATCTCCAGATAGTGACAGCATGGTTCTAAGGCACTGAAAGCCTTTAATGATTCTTACAGAACAAACAGGAGGCTTGATGTGGATATAATATTCACTGAAAAGAAATCTACAAAAGCACGCAGATCTTAAGAGAAAAGGTTGCATCAGAAAAATAATTAAATGACAAGTTGGCTTCACTGTTCACTACCATGACAGTCACCCATTAAAAAGGAGGTACTTGCATTTCTTTTAAGGCTTTCCATTCAATCTTTTTCATAGCTACCATTTTTATTCAAAAATAACTTCAGTGTTGTTCTCCGTGTTTCATTGCTTGGGCACAGTGGTAATATCATCAGAATTTCATGTGTTGTTCCAATAGTCAAAGTGATACGTTCTGCTGTGGGAAGATATTTTTGTTGACTTTATTTGCTGCAGCCCTTCCTGTCCATTAAGGCGATGACAGTAATCATATCTGCAGACTCACGGACGCAGCCTAAACCCTACAAAGTCTAAACCCAAGCGATGAGCATGACCGCGGCCTGCCTTACTTCTTCAGTCTGATTTGAAATTTCCTCCGCCTCCTGCTCAGGACTGGAGCAGTAGCCTCTGGCCCTGTCACTGACAGGGAAGAGTCTGAGAGAATGGCCTCCGTATAAACGCTCTTTTCCAGAAAGAGAAGCCCAGCGGATTCCTGACATGTTCCAGCTGTGACTGCTGCAGTTTGACGAGACCTTAGAAATGGTGTTTTTACACCCCTGTAGGTACAAAATACAAGGTGTTGCTGAAGTTTTATGTTTCGACACTGGATGTAACAGTCCGTACACAGTTTAATATTTTATGCAACTATAAATATATTTACAGAAACTAAAACAAGAGGGATTGCACAAAATGATGTGTGATGATGAAATATGATGTCAAGGAGTTTCCCTTTAGATCAGATGTCCCCTTCTTCATGCAGGCCACCCAACCATCATCATCATCAACTGTGTGTGGAACTACGTCAGGCTCATAGTCTAACATCTGTGGAATTGGGACATAATTAGTATATAATTAGAATTAATTATAATTTCATTTTCCTGGTCTTTTGTTAAACTATAGATAACTAAGCTAACAAAACTATAGTTAGATAAAATAGTTTGAAAACACAAAGTGCAATATCCCAGTTGTATTGTCTTTTTACAAGAAGAGTTTCTGAATGTGGCAGCAGAATAATTTAGCATGGTGCAGTTAATATGCAGGGAGGGGCACTTTGCGCAAAGCCGCCTGTCACTTACAAAGAATACCATGGAAACCATGGTCAAGCTACATAAAGTGTCCTTTGTCACTCTCCAAACAATGTTTCCAAATATAAACCAATCACCAAATCACAGCGACCTTTGAAAAGAGGCACAGCTGTTTTTTAAAACACTTCAGATTATTTGCATTCTATTTTGTGATCAAATGGGACAACAAATTTGGATTTTTGTACAATTTGAAATGAAAGGTTTCTTTCCTTCTGGTTCCAACAGCATCCACAGGCACTATTTTTGGTCCAGTCTGGTGTTTGTTACAGGACGTATGATTAAGCACAAATGCAGTTTTAATATTTATTTTCAGTCCTAGTTTATTACATTTGGTGTTTATGTGCATTGGAATTCTTCATAACATGTGATTTACTGTATTATGCTGTTATTGAATTTTTTTTGCAATATGTTTGTATTTGTTATATTATATGATTGTTTTTATTGTTCAGAGAGCAAGTAATTTTGGATAAAAATGACAGATACATAAATAACAGAATCAGTGGTGTTAAAGACAGATGTGTCCTGCCTTGCACCTGTTGCTTGCTGGGCTAGACTTCGACTTCCTCAGGACCCTGCATTGGTTAGAAAATGGATGTATGGGTGGATTATTTTAATTTAATAAATTGTGATTGTTACACTTTCAAAGATGAAAGGAAGAAAAGTCGGAATGTAAATACTTGTACAACCACAGAAGAATCACCAGCGATGGCTCTTTCAAACAGCAACAGTTGACTATACAGGCATTTGCTTCTTGCACATCAGGTGAGAGAATATGCTAAGCAGTATACTTCTGCTAAAGAATTACTTCATACACACTTATCTAGGTTAGTTATCGACTTTTAATAGCAAGTACAAATATGAAGCACGTATTTACCATCAATATTTCAGAAAAGCTGATATGAAGAATAAAAATATCATCCTGCTTTTCTTAAAAAACCTTTTTGCAATACATATTTGCATTCTTTAAGACAATGAACACTTGAACAGTTCAAAGACTATTTTGTTTAAAAAATATAAATGTCTCCATTAAAAAATTCAATGAAGAAGGCCTGAAAATTTCTAACTGTAAATAAAAGTTTAATTTTTCTATGAACGTATATTTATTTCAAACATTTTAAAACTAATTAAAGCATTTAGGCACAAATACAAGATACTATTTCACAAAAAGGCCTGGAGAACAACATAAGTGTGAATGTATAATAGCCACTAATACAGCAGCATAAACACCAATACTGAAACAACTAGCAAAACTGAGCTAATTATACAGTAGGAAAAAATTGTAGGGACACAGTATTTATGACACAGGCCATGAGCGTAAAAGATCGATTGGTCAGGTAACATTTTTCAGTCACCTCATGATATAATGTTCTAATTCTTCACAATCATTAGCCAACATCTTCCAAAGAAAACATCCCAAAGGCTCTCTTGAAATAGAGATTTAAGAGGAAAATGAAGTGTAGAATTTCACATTGAGGGCAGACAGAATTAGAGAGAGGATATGCTTAAGCTTATGTGGCTGCCTAGCATGCGGAACATTCTGGATTTTCCGCTGGTTTTAGATTAGGGTTTGTATCATATTTAGGTCACACGATGCAAAGTCAGTTGTCCACTTATCCAGAAAAATGCACACCACAGAACCAAGCCACAAGGCAGCATAAGGAATCCCAGATTTGGGCTCTTTTTGAAAGATCTTTGAAGTTGAAGCTCTATGAAGACTGAAAGTACTGCAGTCTGCTCTGAAGTCATTCTTTAAACATAAACATCACCGCTAATAACATTGTGCACTACAAAGAGACAATGGATTCTGACACCCTATTCACACTGTAAATGGAGTATGGCCCAATTAAGAGTATAACTGAGCAGCAAAACAGGCAGTTTAATTGAGGACTATCTTAAAACTAATATGCCAGTGAATCAGAAGGAGTTAGCAAATTCTTTGACTGATTTTATATCATACCTATGAGTTCAGAATAATGAAAATGCATTAAAACTATAAGGAGGCTTTCAGCTTTAACCTTAAAAGTTATTATGCTTCTTGAGTCACTAATCCAGGAATTCACCACTCTCCATAACAGCCCAATTACTGTATGTCCCTTATAAATGGGTCCCTTATAAACTTGTAAAGTGTCCATTAACAACGAGGGACTGTTAGCAGTTTTTTTTTACAAAACAGAAGACAAACAAAACAAACCTTTGAAACCCAGAGATCAGAATGCTTTGACTTTTCTTCTTCAGGACAGGACACACAAGGAGACACACTCTCAAGAGTTTTTGTCACAGTGGTTTCAATACACATGTTCATTATATAACACACATTCTTGCAGCGAAGGGTGAGCATGAGCTCAGCCTGCAAAGGGAGACAGAGATGAGGAGTGATGAAGTACATGCAGGACACTGGAGCAGCGCTGGAGGAACAAGGCAGTGACATCAGAAAAGGAGCAAGTGGAGCACAGAAAAAAACCTGGCGCTGAGCAGACCATAGAGGAAATTCTTGGAAACCAGAGCCATGGCTCTTTAGTAAAATTTTGATCTAAGGAAGTGTTGAGGTCATAGGTATCTGTGTAAGGTGCGTCTGTCACAGCGATGTCACTTCCTGGGACTCTCAATAGTGCTTAAACTCAGCTCCCCGTTTCACAAGAGAGGTTGTTAAACAGGGGGGGTTTAATCCTGGGCTGGTTGGGTTAAACCTGAAATAGGAATTTGAATCTGGTGGGGGGGGGGAGGTGGGCACAGCAGATGATTAAATTAACTTCTTTTTTCGAAAGACAAACCACCCACACATGATGTGCTGACTAACGTGTTCCTGCCTGTGCACCACACTCCAGTGGAAGACCAAGCGAAAGTGTTGAAAGAGGAATGCATCATGGCTTTGGTAGATTAAAAATAGGCAATATCGTCCATTGTATTGTGAGGCAAAAAAGGAGAAAGCTCTGAGAATAAAAGAACTAGGATGGATTTAGTTGAGTGGGTAACTTTCAGGGATAGTAGACACAGGGCACAGCCTTCCTTGAATTTTTTTTTTTTAAATCGGAGGATAAATTTGACCTCTAGTTCTTAAGAGATTATTATACATTAATGTGGAAAAATATATATTACTTGGAAGATCTGTAAGTGAGCCCCACAGACTTCACACCACAATGGATAGTAATATGACTTTTTCACAGCATATCTGTGATTACTGCCCATCCACTCTACTCTGGCTAGAAACACGTATGCCATCTGAAAACAAGAAGGAAAAGAAGAATAACAAAAGCCAACTAATGGATTCTTAAGGAATAATGAATAGAGATTTTTGGTTTTCAATTGCTTTTATTGTATCAGTGGTTAAAGTTCATAAAAATCTGCAGGCACAATGTCTGCGCCTATCTGAGATTGTAGAGTTTTGTGCAGTTTTAAATCATTTTACAAATAATCAACATTGAACCAATTTCTCCTTAGATTACAATTAAAAACAAAGTGAAAGAAACTTTTTTTAAAATGTAGTGTACCATATAAACAATATCTCATTAAATGACTTAATTGTCACTGACATCACAGAAGTGCAGGTATTTGTTCTCAGACAGCTGCATTTTTAAAAGTCACTAATTTACAACTTGAATTATTCCAGTTCAATATTTCCTGGTAGGCGGTTTTACAATATGAATATATTTAAAAATGCAGATGTCAGTCTTCAGGCAAGACAAAGCCAAGCAGCGATATGCTGTAGACCATACTATGCAGTTCAATATAATGTAGAGAGAAAATGTTTCTTAAAAAAAAAAAAGACACGTACCAAGTTCCAAGATAAAATCTTAAAAATCCAGGATTAAGAAACTTGCTATACAAAATTTTAAAAATGTACACCATCTGAGCTGCCAAAAGTGTATAAAAGTATAATTTTCCACATAAAACTATACAATAATCCTTTATCAGTAGGTCCAAAAATACCAGGGCATAATTTATCCCAAAAAACATAAGAAGAAATATTCACCCTGTTTAAAAACAGCAAAAAAAATATATATTTACATATATATTTTTACAGCTATGATACTCTAAACTTACAGCAGTGCATCTATCCATCTGTCGTCCTTTCTTTTAAAAAAGCACTGTTTAAAACTAGATCACATGTGCAGATTATTGCTGCAGGAACTGGTCGTAAGGCAGGCACGGTGCCCAGCTAGCAGCGCCAGATACCACTGCAGATTAGGAGATGAAGTCAGGTACTGGAGAAGGAGGGTGGGCACATCCAAGAAGGAGGTGAGAACAGTCAAGGGAGACACGGGAGGTGAATGTTTCTGAGGTAAGTCTTACACGGAAGTGGTCACTCTGTCAATAGCATTATTGACCTCGTTTTTGTTGGAGTCCAGTCCTTTGGCCGCGTTCATGTCGTTCCGCAGGTTCTCCGCTGTCTTCTTCATCGTCTTCAGCTCTCCTGGGTGAGGAGTGGCGCGGCGCAGCAACGTTCCCTGCAAACAAACAACCGGAATCTCACCTTCCACTGGCAGCAAGCAAGACCTCCTGCGTCCAGGCCCCTCGGACAGGGGCTCATGGACGATTCGCGACTGACAGGAGAGAACTCAACATTTTCCTTCAGCACATCGACTGTGCTCAGCAGCTGGACTTGGACATGACCCAACCCTCAGCTAATGTTCTAGCGATCTAAAGGGGACCAACACTTTTGGTCTGTGCGACGTAAAAGTTGGCCTTACGCTCCACAACAGCAAGGTTCCAAATAGTGAGTATATCAAATTTCCCACACACACTATTAAATATGTATTTACATGATGAATCTCCAGCATGCTCCCAAATTGTCAATAGTAGTCAGTGATGCTCAACACTACAATCTCTGTACTGAATAAGGAGAAGAAGGACCTATGTTTGCATTCCTCTGAAAGACACACCTGCCAGTGTGTCACTGCTATATGATGGGCCAATGAGTCGAGCCTGTCGAACCCAGTCAGGACCATCTGAGACACAGGAAGCCAACCTGCGCTCCAGCCCAGCTACTAGGGAGCTATCTAAACCTGGAGGTCATACCAGCCTTAAAGACAGAATACTTGAATCTCCCGTTCACGTGACTGGGCCTCAAAGCTCTTCCACACACACCTTCTCGTCATCCTCGTCGTCCTTCTCCTCCTCCAGGAAGCGGATGGCGCTGATCCGGTTCGCCGACGGCCCGTTCCACGCCTCGTCCGACACGTCGGTCACCAGGCTCTCCAGCGCTCCGCAGCGCGCCAGGTTATCTGAGATGCAAAAACAGCCCGAATGACTTTGTGCAGGTATTACGGCTGTACACTTCACTCTGGAGGAAACACAGAAAACTCCCCGAGAGCCTAGACCACTATGGTCATGACAAAAGTAATTAAGACATGACCGGAGTGAAGGACTTCCAGGTGAAATTTCCAGGTGCTGGCAAAAATGCTTTTGTTATTCTTTGGTCCCCCAAAATAAACAATCTGGCCTAGTGGTAAAAAAAGTTAGATGACTTGAAACTGCCCTGTGTCACATCAAGACGAGATGCTTCAACCCCCATCTGCAATGAACCTGGACAGACAGTACTTTATTCCAGAAAACGGCAAGGCAACCATCCAATGATAGGTCTGATGTCAGCTTTTTTAATTTCAGAATTTCAAGTGAATAAGAATATACAGAAAACAATAAAGGAAAAAATAAAATAAAAAATACATAAAAGTACAAACTGTAACGGATATGCATGTAGTCATTTTGCCAGGCTGATGTTGATCACCTCTACCTCACAGCAAGCCAGTAATGGCGGACAGCCAGATAATACTAATCCTCTTTACTTTCTCAATCTGCCGTGCGGCCACAATATCAATGGCTGAGCCACAGAAAAACTCCAGGTGACCCTGCTCAGGAGAGTCACTACAAGCGCCCTCCAATATGCTCTCAAATGTCAGCTGGTGACATCTGAATTAAAAGTACAATCTGTACTGTGCCCTGTTGATCAATCAGGCCACAGACCCAAAGACAGGAAAGGCAATTAGGATACTAAGGAACCAAGTGATTAAAGAAATCCTGTTGGATTGTTTACCAGGTTCAGTAATCAAATAATCAGGCAAGAAAAACTGAACAACAAAACAGTGAACTACATGCAAACAGCAAACTGTGATCTGCATTAAAAAAAAACTGGTGAAGAAGAGAGGTCATATTAAAAAGATAAACCTCTAAATGATAGCAAGTTGAATTTCATAGCTACCTTATAAGAAATTTAAAACAGACAGGTCAGGTTCAAGGTGGCACAATTTCAATCAGAAAAATGGATAATCTTCAAATTTATTCAATTTGTATGGTAAGTTTATCATCTGAAAATACTAAATGTAACCCATAACTATGTATACAGCTTTTATCTGGAATGGTAATATCTGATAACACGATCATCAACCTTACTGATTCTCACAATACTTGCAGATGCTAAATGTTACTATTGGGCTTTTTAGCTCAGGGTTTTTAAAACATGATTAGAACCCAGGGCCTCTGCCTCATGGCATCATATTAAAAAGGCGAGATCTTCCATTCTCTGGCCTCACAAATATGGCCATTTTTCTTCAAATGGGCCACATTTCCACACGTACACTAGATATACGCCAAAGCAGTGGTTAGGATCACTGGAAGGCTGGGGTTCAAAGCCCAGAAGAGACATTGTTGTACCCCTGAGCGAGGTGGTTCACATGAATTGTTCCAATAAAACACCTGGCTGTAAAAATGGGTACGAAGGCAAGTTGCTCTGGATGAAAGACATGTCTTTGCTTAACTCCCCTCACTTTGCCATGATTTGCACTGACAGGCTCCAAGAAACAGACACATTTTAAATAGCATTTTAATGACCAAGAGCCGTGCGTGTTCGAAAGACCTTTTCTTGATCTCTGTGTCTTCTGGCTTTTGTTCCTCCTAAGCTCTCAGTTACATTGTTGAGCTAATGGCATAATTAATACCTCTAACCAGGCTCCAACATGCTTCTAACAGTAAATGTACCTTTAATGAAGTGGTAGCTTTGAGCAATCATCTGTAAAGACCTTAAGAACAATCCTACACCTAATTAAGACATTCAGGTTTATTGCTTAATGGCAATTCAAGTTGAAACAAGAACCCAGGCCCTCCAGGAAGGAGTGCAGGGCCTGACCTGCACACCATCCTGCTCTTTGTGGCCCCTGTCTTGTGTAACACCATGGTCTTAAAGTTGGTTTTCTGCTCTGCTGCTTCCCACATGGTCGCATAAGAAGAGTGTAAAAGCTACAAATAAGAAGAAGCCATTCAACTCATGTTGTTTGTTTGGCTTAAAATCCCTAATTGTTCTGATCGCTGCAAGCTTTACACTCGTCTGCAGACAGGCTGATGTAGGTTCACAGTAAATGTGCCAGCAGATGCCATTATCCACAAGGAACGTACCCGATTTTGAAATGCTATTGTATAAATCACCCAAGTTTTAACCCCCAGAAAGAAAAACTGGTTTCTTTACCTCTTGGCTGGCAGTGCTGAGCCTTGTGCCCACACAGCAGGAAAGAGAAAGCGCAGCCCGGCTCCTCTGGCCAGCCTGCCCACGGATGCCCCACACCCCGCAGTGCCAGCCCTGTCGTCGCCCCCAAGGTCACAAGGGGGCTCCGTGTCACCAGGCGGCGAGAGCCCCGGCCCCTGGCTGACCACTCCCAACCCTACTGCCAGTGGCGAGTCCCAGCCGGCCAGTGACCAGACCCCGGCTCGGACCTGTGACCATGGAGCTCCAGCCCTCACTCCTTTACTGGTCACCCCCGATAAAATCATCATCTGTACAATTCAACACGACAACTAAGACTCAACTAAATAAGTGATACAGAATAATGAAGAAAAGGGATTCACCATAACCTACTGAATAAGAAACCTAATACAGCAATCTGTATATTTCTACTTAACATAACTGGGTAGCAGGTGATAAATCTATTTCCATTCAAATGTTAAATTTTCTAAGTGAGCTTTTCTTATATTTATAGAGGGTTTGAAATTCCAGACATGTACTGAGTAAACCAGAGAGTGATGTAAAGAGATGAGTAAACCTCTCATCACTTCTCTGATGTACTGTAGTGGAACTTTTGTGATACAACACCAAGTGATTAGTAACTTCACAGCACTACTGTTCAGACCTACCTCACAGTGTTAATAACTGTCCACACCTACAGACTGGCACAGGTCTAAAGAGTTCTCATTTAGAGGATATGGTGTGCAAAAAAGGAGAAAACCATGGTGATATGCTGAACTACGCCAATGCACTTCCTCATTAAATTTCTCTCCATCAGCTTTGAGAGATCTAATAAAACAAAGCTTTGACTACAACAGGCAGGCAGTACAGCACAATGTCAGCAAAGACAAAAAGAACTAAGGATGACGCACAATAGTACCTTCTACAAGTAAAATAAATGGGTTTAAATTACCAAACTAGAATTAGTTTGACTAATCTGCACCAACAAAGACTTGCCAGCAGAGAGCAGGAGGATTTGTCTTACACAAAGGGTTGTGGGAGTGTAAAATAAGACAGTTTCAAGAACTGGCCGGATGAGACAGAGGCCCAATGGCCTCCTATCGTTTGCAAGTGTTCTTCTGTACTTGAAAACAAATACATTTTATCTGAAGCGCATAAGAGACTGAAGGGCCCTAGCTGTCAGACCTCTGCAGCCAGAACACTAATGCTTAATACATTATCCTGGAAAATTACTGCACTGCTTTCCTGGCTGAAGTACTGACTAAGCTTTTGCTGACATGAAATTCTCAGACAGATGGGAGTACTTTGTTTCTGAAAATGGGCCTCCTCTACAGATGGCTGCAAATCTTCTCATTTTCCAACGGTGTTTCTAAACAGGGTGAACAATTTTTAATTAAACTAAAATGTTTAACGAACAGCACTTCACATTTTATTGCTGAAGTAATCAGTCGTAAGAAAAATAAGTTTCACCTTCATATATGCTCTCATCCAATCAGTAGTGTTGTGAGAACACAGGGAACAAGAAAAAGAGAACTGTGCATCACCCACTTCTGTGTATATTATGTATCTCTATTACTGCATTTCTTTCACCTACAGAAGTGACGGACTTAATGCTGTAACACTTCCCTCATTATCAGGCATCCAACAAGCTAATGGCCAGAGAACACTGAAAGCACTCTATGTATCAGGAGAGGATGAACTTAACCAAGCAGAAGACACTGACTGCTATGATCAATTGTACTCATTTATTATCAGGACTCCGCTAGTCCTGATGAGGGCTGCTACAGCCCAGAACATATCCTGGAATAATATGACGATAGGCAAGACCACCTCCTTCAGAGTACACGCAAGGGCAAAGGTACAAAAGGACAGTTTAGGAGACCTTAAGTAACTGGGCCAACGTGTCTTTGGAAAGTAAGAGGAAATCTGAGCCCTCTACTGAAGTCACTATGAAACCGGGGAAGAACATGCTAACTCCACACAGGAGCTGCGAGAAAGCTGTGCAATCACCCATCCCTCCCAATTACTTTCCAAAGCCTGAGAAGTGAAAGCTCTTTACTTCTTTTTCACACTCGTATAACAACTTTGCTTGGCATTAGTCACTAGTATGATATATTGAAGAATGAACTAAAATGTCGCTCCTTCTTCCCATGTCCTCTTGGCCACGTTTCTCCCATACAGCTCCTCTGCTTCAAGGCATAGCAAGTCACAGTCAGCTAGTGACCCGATCAGCCTCAATCAGGCTCCGCTACTTTCACGCCTCCACTATGAATTTTTAAGATGTGGCTGCGATTCTTTTAGCACCTGTGGGTTTCCAACCCTGGTCCTGGAGAGGCCCGATCAAGAATGGACAATCTTAATCATCAAATTGTAATTTATCTGTTTGATTCAAAACATCATTTGCCAGATTAAGTATTCAAAGGTAATCTGGAACAAAACAAGTGAAACCCCTTACGCCCTCAGGGGGCAGAGTTCACACATCTTAAAAAATAACCAGCTAAATTGATCTGTAAATTACCTGAATTACTACATGGCAATCCATCAGAACTAGGAATCTTCTGCAGTTACCCAGGTGTACCTTATTATCTACCATATTTCGTGTTTTAGTAGGTTTAGATGCTCCTAGCTCTAAGTATTGCACTGTGTAACTTACAGTGACTTGCAAAATTCTACATATTGTTATTCTTTTGTGCAACAGGCTGTGGATAATGGGGTGAGCTAAAGAAATCAAAGAGAAGGACAGTTTTAGGACAGACATTCAGTCCAGAGCCTCTGGGAAGCAGCACTCATGGGGCCACAGTACCTTGGCTCTCCGGTTCCGAAGGCTGCTGAGGAAGGAGGACGCAGGTCAGCACCTTCTCCCGCGACTCCGGATCCACATCCGTCTGGAATGTCAGCAGTGGCTGGGACTGGTTCTCCGACAGCCAGAGGGCCTTCAGCTTCAGAGTGGTCAGTGACATTGGCAGACAGACCAATCTGGAACGTGAACAGGAAGCAGCAGCTTTAGGGCTCATACCCACTAGAGGAACACCACCCTCCTCCTGCCAGCCACCAGCCATCATATGAACAAAGTGAAAGAAAGAGCCTGTGAGAGGCTTGCAAAAATACTGCTTCTTTACTTTAGTCTTTTGCTTCCTGATCTTTCATGTTTTTTTTGCCAGTGTTTTTAATTTTTTTTAAATAGTTTCCTCACTTCCTGTTCAACTCAGTCTGCACTATGCACTTTCCACCTACTCCAAACAGCTTTCCCTTAGTGACCAGAATCATTTTGCTTAGGATACATGACAAAAACCCATCCCATCTGCCACAAATACACAACTTTATTCACGCATGTCAGGGAGTAGTACCTACCTGTTGCCAGACACATCAAAGACGTGTAATTCTGTGGCCTGGGAAATCTCGGAAGGAATCCGTGTTAACCTGTTTTCTCGTACACAGAGGACATTAAGGCTACAACAGCCTCCAATCTGAATGCAAACATCGAGGAGGAGGAAAAAGGAAAAGTTAAAATGCTGGAATACATGAACACACTAACGTCTATTCATCAAGATGCATGCCAGATCTATCCAGAGTTGTGAAAGAAAGCCCCATTGTGTAAACAACACTTGAGCTAAAAGGGGATTTGCATCAATTTGATAATCTTGTGTCACCAGAGTGGCTTCCACACTGACTGCTAAATGTCGATGATAGTGGAACGAGTGCAGACAGAGCTAATCAACATGCTATTTTATGACATTTTCAGATGAGCAGAGGTCTTGACGTGAAAAAAAAAACAAAGGCTAAATCATGTAATCATGTGGATGAAGTGAGAAAATGTCCTTGCTGAATTCCATTTTTTGGCGAAAGCAGCCATCAATTCCATCCTGTAACGGTCAGTTTGGTGTCAGATCTATAACTCAATCCGAGGACCAGACAAAACGTGTCTAAAATCAGAACAAATTAAGCCCTGGTTAAACTGGAGACCCAATGGGGTTGCTAATGTGCAGACAGTAATCTGCTCATCAGACAGCATGGAGATCTGCTCAGGCTTGTATCAGTGGGTGAAGCCTTATCAAGCTAAAAAGATACAGATAAGCTTATGTAATTGTGGCAATTACATAGAAATGGCTGAAGTCACATGGTGGGGAAAACCCTCAAATGCAGCTAAGAAAAAACAGACAGGGTCACACATCTCTAATGCAGTCTGCTCCGAGAAGGACTATGATCCGCACTGAAAATTGTGATCAAAGTTGAACAAGCACTGCTCAAACCCCTGTACAGAATTTCTCTAAGCAGACTTGAGAATTTTTTTCCCCCAAGAGCAAAATCATTCATTTTGGAATCTTCCATTACATCCTTCTCCTGTTGAACGCCTACAACTTACTGTACCAGGCTCAGTTTATTACAAATGGAAGCATTCCATTAATTCAGACTAATATGCCTTTTCTATTATTGTATTAGGACTATTGATTTTGAATAATTAATTTACAAACATTTAAAAAATTAAATCAAATGGTAGAATACAAGAAACCCAAATAGATTCTGAGACTCAAAAAAGACCAAATGGAAAAAGGATGGATTTCATTAGATCAGTTACTATGCACTAATAAATTCTGTATTACAATCAATACATTATTAATAGCTTACTGTCTTAAATTACCAAATATTTTCCAAAATGTATGGAAATAATTCACAGTTAAAGTGAATTAATTCAACATGACGTTTATTTCGCTCTTGACAGGGGACAATTCCTTCTGGTAAATTTTAGTCAACATTTAGTAAGACAAAATCAAGATGTTTCTACTTTTTATCTTAGCCTTGATAAAAGAATTGCACAAAAGCGGCCAAACTATTACACTAAAAGGAGAGACAGAATGTTTAGAAAAAGGAATTTAAATCTACATAAGAGCTTGGATGAATTTTCAGTAAATAATGTTGTCTGGGACGCTGCAGGTGTATTTAGATTCTGTCCTTCACCTTGTCGACACACCTCCGCACTACAGTACCAACCAACAGGTGTGATTCCAGGGAGAAAGGAAGACAGAGGATGTCAAACCACACTGACAGGCTGGCTGTGAGCATGTGAAGTCCCGATCTGGGCGAACAGCCCATGACATCCTCACAGCCTCACAGTTTAAAGTCATGCTACAAGCACACACAGAACACACGAACTGAAGTGCAACAGATATTTAAAATGCAATAAAGCAAAAGATGACAGAAAGTCATTCAGAATCAATGTGCTTATGGACTATGGTTATTTGGAATGACAGCAGGGCATGATTCCACTGAATAGTTCCTTTCAGCACATGAAACCGGATTTGCCAGTGAGCAGTTGAGCAGATTAAGCTTGCAAGTCCCATTAAAACCAGAAAGATAACAGATCCGGTACACAAACCCGCATGCAAATAATGGCAACGGGAAGGCAAACAAAACATTTGAACTTACTCACAAGGCTACAAGATTCAATATGTTCCAAGCAGCAAATGTTCAAAAGCAAAAGAAGAAGTAATCATCGCTTCTTGTTTACTTTAAAATTATTGTACACTGCTTTCAAGCTAAGGTATGGGGCATAGAATTTTGTAACACGCTTTCACACAAAGCGCCTTCTGAACACATTCAGTACATGCTGTAGTCAAAAGCACGAGTCATACAACTGGTCAGCACAGTCTTTTACAGGAGCCAGCAAGACAAACGAATGCACAGGGAAGACCTGAAAAGTGTACTACAAGAACTTCTGCCAGAAACTTCGATAATGCTGAATAACGTCAAGCTAAATGAAAAACATAATAAGGTATCCTTTTGGCACTGGTGGGATTTATGCTAACCAGTGCAAAGTCGCCGTTTCACCAAGCATGCATTCTCCAGGAGGTTATAATGCAAGACCATTCACACCGGTGCAGGGCAGATTGAAAGGAGGTTAAGATCAAAGATGTGGGATTGTGCACATAGTGAATGGTTGGCCAGTATCACTCAGGTCCAGAAAACCAATCGCAGCAGCCTTTCTATCAGGACAATTAATGCAGCTCTGGTATTTTTGCCTATGTTGCTTTTGCATAACTCTCATAGGAAAAATGTCCCTGAGCAGTCCTGGTTTAAACACATGCATTTTGTTTTCCCCGGGCAGGATTCACACTTCCCAGGCAGAGCTCAAGCCTCCTGTCTGAGGTAAGCAAGCAGTGCAGGTAAGCCAGCTGCGCTCCGGCTGTGCGAACCTCGGGGCGCAGGCAGCTGTGGCAGGGCCTGGGGGGACCTCCACGAGGACGGCAGGAACCCGGTCCGTTCACCTCGCGGTCGTCTCCCTGGACTACCGTGCGGCAGTGGAAGCCAAAGCTTAATCCCCACCATGATCGCTAACAGAACCCCCCACCTACTGAGAAAAACATGGGTCCGGAGCTCTGTGTTACCGCCCAGCAGTAAGAACGCCAAGCACAGCTGCTGGGGGCTGCTGGGTCCACCAGTGTTACTCCCATCACATTTCACCTGCTCACACTCTCAATAAAGCTAAAATGCATTGTGCACTTAGGGGAGTCCAATCCTGGTCCTGCAGATTTTCTAAGTCTCTTCAAAAGGGAAGGAAATTGAGTCAAAAGTGTGCCGATTTAGGTCGTTCAGAGCCGGCCTGGAAAGAAACCCTGAACTGTATATTCAGCTCCTGACCTAGGAGCTGGTCAAAAGAAAAGAAAATAGATTGCAGCCATTACTGAACCCTCCCCTTGCCCTGTTATACTTGCAGTATGCTATAACATATTCACTATAATACATATTAACCTATTTACATATATATGTATATAGCTTATATACTTTTGTTATAGAATGAAACAATTTTACAGATTTGCTCATGCGATGCGTTTACTCCCTGAGCAGAAAAACAACCCTGATTTCTTACTTGCCTCTCATCAATAGCAGAAAAAACTTCAAAGCAGTACACGAGCACAGGACACCCTGGGCACCAGCTGAGCCCACGCTGAGGGGCTGGCAGCAAGCTAATGCCCAGGTTCTCTCTAGGCACATCTGGAACATGTGGGTGACTTAAATCTCACAACACTGATGCACTAAAGGTCATTCAGCCGCTCGGAGCTGGACACAGTCTGCTTTTAAAGTCTTTTTTAAACCTGTGGTTTGAGGCTTCTCTTCAACCCGGCCTCCTAACAAAACACACTCCTTCCAAGACTTCAAAACCAGGAGGAACGGGACGAGGCTGTGTTCCTCTCAGCACAATTCACCTTCCAGTAACTCACAAAGGAATTGTTATAATATAACGCAGACGTGTCTAAATAAAGGCATGGCAACAAACCGCCAAGGACCGCATGATACTTCATGCGCAGCAGAGCTCCATGTTTTTAAGATGCTGACTTGAATTGTACCACCCTAAAGTCCATCAAGTTTCTCATTACTTCGAAATGACAGCAAGCTTCCTTCTGAATGTACTGCACCCACCCACTCTCTCTCCCCATGACTGCTATTTCCTAATAATGTTTAAATCTACTAAAGCATGTTCATACAAACTGCTCTGGGCCCATCTACTATGTCAAAACAGTTGGTTTTCAAAATATATTACTGCTTTGAGAATGAACCAGTAGGAACAGGTTTTGAAAGATATAATTAAGTTGAAAATGAAATTCTGTGCTCTGGATATGACTGGAAAACAATTCATGCAGGAATCCAGTGTGAACCAGCTCAGCCAATCAGCCACCTCATTACTTCACTAATAATAGTGTCACCAGCCAAAATGTTTCATGCTGAATTTTCAATATTCAGTATATAAAACAGCTTGAAGTATTTCTACATGGGAGACAAAACAGAACATCTTTTTACATACCTCTTTTGGTAAAGCAATTAGCCTATTCCTGTCACAATTGAAATTGGACAGTTTCTTAAGTTTTCCAATACTTCTCGGTAAATTCTGCAGAAAAAACAAAAATACCATTTGTCAGTGTTAAATCCCTTCTCCCCCTCAGCAACAACAAAAGCTTAATGCAGCTATATTGCTAACGGTCAGAGATAGGCATCACAAACAGAATGCAAGCTGCTTGCTTACCACCAGCTGGTTTTCTGTAAGCACCAGTTCTGTAAGATTCTCACACTCGCCAATACTGTCCGGCAACTGCACCAGTCTATTCTGGTCCACCTTGAGGATTGAAAGCTGCTTCAGTTTGCCTGCAGGATAAAAGGGATCAACAATAATGAGCAAACTTAAGTGCAGCTTATTTTACAATGACTGAACCTTGTTAGGGTACACCCCATACTATGAGCCAAAAGTGTTAGCATTCAATTCTTAGTTGGTTTCCCCTCGTGGTTGACGGGAATGATCTTCTATGAAGCCAAAGGTTTAGCAAAGCCTTGAGGGAATCAGGGGAATGGAGCAATACGCTCTCTGGCAGAGGGAGCAGGTCTGTCTCAGAAGGATCTGGTCATGGACAATCTGGTCATGCTGAGCTCTTCGATGCTCCATTTTTAAGAACAAAAGTCAAATAACTAAACGGCAATGATTAATATTTTGAGAGCTTGTATAATCTTACCAATTACATTCCTAATAGCGCTGCTTCACACGCGTCTCACGGATTCAAAGCTTACCTCAGCTCAGAAACTGCCAGGGCGCCAGCATGTTACAGCAATGGAGAAATAAAAACTACAGGGACCTCCTCCACTTCACCACCAGCGCCCACCCGGGACGGGCACCCGCGCAGGTCCAAAGAGGGACACGTACCTATGCCGTCCGGCAAGACGTCTATGAGGTTCTGGGAAGCCAGGAGATCGGTCAGGGAGGAGAGCCCCCTGATCTCCTCAGGCAGCCGCTCCAGTTTATTCTCCGACACATCCAGGCACAGCAGGCTCCTCATGCTCCCGATCTCCTGGGTGATGGATTAAACAGCAGGCGCACGTTCAGACTTGCAGTGGAAATATTTCCTGCCTTGAGCCAAGTTAAGAATCGTTCAACTCCTCAGCACCTTAACACCACTGAATCAAACCATTTGGGAAAAAAAGGAACTCTGTTTCACCAGTATGGATTAATAATAATATTCAATTTAACATTAATATTAACACGAATGGATTAATAGTGGATTATTCCAAAAGGCACAGAACAATACCTATATATATATATAACTTGAGGAATTGAGCTTAATTCACATACAGTAGGCAAAGGCAGAGTTAATTTAGTGCTCTCAAAGGAAGTACATTTTATGCATTTAGGCACAACAAAGAAGCTTAAAGTGCGATATTATTTTTCACAGTTGTGACTTTCAGGTGGCTGGGGGATTGGGACAAAATCAGACCAACTGGGATTTAAGCCCTGCCCAGAGCATTTTAATTTTCAAAAGAAGGCAACACAAAGTATATCTGTCATGGGTATTATTTTCTGGCACAACAAGAAACTGAACATACATGTGCATGAACGAAAAGAGAAAATCTGGTCTGGTAACTTCAGGGAAGTTCCTCTCATTATCAGCTTTACAAGAAAAGGTCCCTAGAGCTAAGTCTTTACTTCAGTCATAAAAACTACCCTTCAGTCCCATGTAACTGGCAAAGAAAACATGGTTTACATCCAAATGCAAGAGACATACATTCAATATTTTCAAGATTATCATGCTCTTCCACCCATCTTCTAATCCAATACAGGACCACAGGGGAGGCAGAGCCTATCCTGGCAAGCAACAGGCACAAGGGGGCGCCAGTCCAGGGCAGGGCACAAGCCAACACAGCAGGGCCGGTCTTCCCAGAAGCCAGTTAACCTCCCAGTAGGTCCGGAGTTGAGCCCAGGGCTCCAGCACTGCGCCATCGTGCCACCCTCTTCCTACCCGTGTGTGCATCAACTTTTCAGCTTTTCAAAAATAGCTTACCGCTGGTAATTCTGATAACTGGTTTCCATCTAGCCAGAGGTCCTTCAGACTGAGAAGGCAGCCAATCGTTTCTGGCTAAAGAGAACAGAAAAAAAACAGAAATCCCTTCATCGCAAACTTTTGGGTTTTGGTGATGGGAAGCATTTGCCAGAAGGCCGATTCATCCTTCACGTAAGTACGTTTTTAAAAGCTGAGCTGGCATGGCACTTAACTTACCAAACTGTAAAGTTCGTTGTTTCCTAGATCAAGTTCTTCTAGTCTATGCAGTTGGGATAATGACCTAAAAAACAAAAGAAGTTGTAATAAACACTGCTCACGCCTACAAATATTGAAGTACACACAAGATATATGTATACTCATATTTCCATTTCTCTAACTGTACCTTATTATTATAAACAGGCTTTTAACACCCAGTTCTTAAAGGTTGCTTTGTGAAGTCGCTTTTCAGAATCGGTCCTCACAAATACAGTAACGCCTACAGTATAGACACACACCACTGCATAATGACTACAATGACTTAGCGATACCACCACACATTTATACAAGACTGGTTTTCACAAGCATGACAAGTTTAACGTTACACACTATCCTGAATGGTCACACACATCAGGCACTTCTGGATTTTAATTACTGCATCACTTTTCTCATGTGAGATCTCATGGCACTGCCACTGCTAGTTGTGTGGACTGTATCGGAAAATGATTTAGAATGAGCTATAACCAGGTAACCATTACTGATTAGAATTACCTGTCCCTCACATGAAGTGCTATGAGGTTGAAAAAGATTTCTTTGGTATACTCACTCTGGTAAGTATGTCAACAGATTCTCTCTCAATTCCAGTGATACCAGGTTACAAAGGCTGAAAAAAAATCACAGAAAAAAAAAACATTTTTGTCCGTTTCAACAAATTCAAAGTTCTTTCCTTGAAGATCAGCATAATACATCACAGAATAAAAAAAGCCCTCTAATGGAGTCCAAATATAAATCTTTGGCTTTTTAAATTGCTTTGTAATGGCAATCATGCCATGTTTGTGATAGCCTGGTTTGGAAACTCAGCCGTTCAGGAAACAGCTGGGCAGAGTGGTTCGAAAAATAACTGGCTGGGACTGACCATGTGGTGCCTCCATATACACGACGCGTTGAAATGGAAAAACTCTGAAGATTATGAGTGACCACTCCGACCCAGCCTCTCCCCTGTCTGAGCTCCTACCCTTGGTAAGGAGACTAAGATGTCTCAAACCCAGAGGTGGTTCCAGAAGAGCCCCAGCCCTGAGGCTCGTCTGGTTCTCAATTCAACACTCTTAAAGTGGTTACTAAAGTATTTATTGGTAAACGTGTGGATCCTACCTTCACTGTATTTTGTCTAGGATATGTGTATGATACTTCACATATCTACCAATTAGCATCCATCAGCCCTGTGAAGCTTGTTTGATTTTTCTTTCTCTTCTTGTATTTCTCCTTTTTTGTATCTTATTTCAAGCTCGCCACAAACAAATCTTAACAACCAGAAAGGTTGTTTTGGCAAAAAAGCTGGCTTTGAATTCTGGATCTCTTAATTTGCAGTGATGGCTTCACTCAGTTCATTCTAAGCTCCGCACTTTATGATGATTCATTTCTGAAGCACTGTTGTACAACAGTCCTGACCCTGTCGCATACGAAATGAACCGACACCAACAGAAAGCTCTGACTACAAAAGATCAGGATGATAACACACACCAGGTCCAGTCCTCCGTGTGGGCAAACTGCACTCTCCAGTGCAAGAAGTAGATGGGTAGTCTACCCACAGTTAAAATGAGGTTCACAGAGCGATTCACTGAAGACAATGCACTGTGCTGTGAGAATCTGATCATTTTTATATTTCTGCACCAAATCAAACTGATCTCGTACCCTTGATCAGAGACTTGTGTCTCCCAGTCTCACCTCAGCTTCAAACTACCAGGGCTCAAAGCAGCCTTAAAACAGAATCTAATAATCGCTACAAATGGGGGCCATTTCCCTGACTTGGTAGCTAAATAATTCTAGGATTTCATCGCCCAATGCTTGGAAAAGACCTTTATTTGAACCAATTTTGACTGTATAATTTGGGGTTAGAAATTATGAATATCTCTACCGAGTTCTTAACTTCAGATTAACCATCGCTTAATCCATACCCAGCCTTAGATTTTCATACCCGGCCACTTTTAACAATTATCTTTTAACAGCAAACTCCCAGCCTGCAATTAATTGTACATATGTAGTTAACTGAAATTAATGCTCAATTTTGCCAAGAACGTAACCTTACGTAAAGAGTTGATGATTTTATAACTAAAGCATATTTGGTTTTGATACCACTGCTTTCAAAGTTCAGGGGATAAAACACACAGAAGACAGCAATAAGATAGAGAGAGAGGGATACAGCAGAGCCTTTTACAGCACTACTGTAACAGCAACGAAGTTGGTGCCCTCAGGAGCAGTGCTAGCTCTGCACCAGGGACAGATCCGCTCATCAATAAATCCCTGTATTTCACCACAGGAAACATATATGGGCTGGAATAGAACCAGAACTCCTGGAAAGAGGAGGGTGCAATAGGGTTTGTCATGGTTAAAATAGGAGGGTCTTATTCTTTTTAAGCTACACTAACAGGAGGCAACACTACAAGATCCCAAGACAAGACCATCAGCTCCTAACTCAACACCATTTTCATGGAAAGATAATAAAACAGCCAAAGGCTCTTATGGCCGGGGGAAAAAAGATTTAAAAAGGCATATGGTCTCTCGTTCACCCAGGCAGTTTGAGTTACAGCAGCACTGAGGTCTTCGTTATCCACAATAAATGGAAAAGGAACAAGTAATAGGTTTATTCCATGCTAAAAAAAAAAGAAGAAAGAAAACAACGTTTTGGCCATGGAGCCTTCTTCAGGTGTGCCGAGTGAGGCGAGTGAAACAGCTTATTAGTTTCCAAAATCCCCCTGTGTGACTGTCAGACAGGGACTGAAGAACTGCTTCACTCTCAGTTACGTAAAGCACTATACTCCATCTGTCCTTCCAATTTTCACAACAGTTAACTTGCATTAACTTCAAGTCCGACTATTAGTTTTGAAAACGTGTCCTCTTTCATAACTTCCAGCTCTCTGTGGCTTTTGGCTACAGAACTGTGAATTTCAAGCAAATGTCAATGCAATTGAACCAACTGTGTCGTCTTTCACACCTAATTCCAAAGCAATTGGGAATAAAGGGCACTTTTTTCTGATGAAAGGATTGTTATGATCATCATTAATGACGTGGGGGCTGGGAGATTTCAACAGGCTGAGTCTGGTTGAATCCAAACACTGAGGAAAAAAAGCAAACAGATCCATCCGTCAATGCCGACACCTCGGTGCCCGGAGGAGGAACCTTCTGAATCCCTAAATCATGGAACGTGGCGAAGGGATGATGACGGGGCAAATGTAAAACGAGGGGGTAGGCAGGACAGAAGAAGGGGTGGTGTGGGGTCATAAACCACCTACAAGCTAGAAAACCAAAGCAAGAGGTTCAGGTGGACGAGAAACTACGGGGATTACACTGCAAAATAAAAGCATTCAAAGTGTTAACAAAGGGTGTATGTGACAGACCACCCCATGCAAACATGGTCACAAGACGTTTACAGCAGGGCTTACTGTGCCACTATGAGATCAGGAAGGCATGTAATAAAAGTGATACTACATTACTGGGAGATTTCAACTTTCCACACAGAAACTGGGATACAGTGACGGGATAAGAAAGAACATCCATTTCAACCATATCTATTCCAGCTTCTGCATTTCCTAATATTTTAAAGCTACAACTTAGAAAGACACTGTGACCTCATCTATTCCAAACAGTCCGGATATAATTAGGAGAACTGATGTAACAGAACCACAGTACAGATTCTTCTGACATTTGCTTTCGATCTAGAAAGGGGGCGTAACAATTAGGGTTTATAAGTCCAGAAGAGCTTCCAGATGGTAAACTGGAAGAGCTGGATAAAGAGCCAAGAGACTGGGTACCCTGTACTGGGTAGAGAGGTTGACAAATGGGTGGTCATACATTAAAAATACAATGTTAATGGCTGAAAACTGATTAATCCCTAACAAGATGAACTCTAGCAGAATGGACTAAATGGTTTAATGGGTCTAGTAGGAAAAACCCATTAAAGGTAGAAAGTGTTCTACATGCTGCATGAAGGGACCCAAGGATCAATGATGGGAAAAGACCACAGTGCCACAGTGCTTCGGGAATAGCGAATTACAATCGCCAGACACAGGGAAGGCCTTTGCCTTGGCGGTAAAATAATGCGAAGCGTTTGTTTTTTTTCAGTTTTTAAAAAATGTTTTAGTCCTGTTGCGAGTGAACCGAGCCCAGTATTCAAAATCCAGAAAGGCACTGACAAACTGAAGACTACGTCTGGAGTAACAGTGAAACATGAACCAGCAAAGAAGCAGATTTAAAACCAAGAACAGGGGGCACTTCTTCACACAGAGGAGTCTGGGGGTTGGCACATGTTACCCAGCCAGGTTACTGAAGATGACACCCTGACTTCCTTCAAGAAACAACTGGACTAGGTCCCTGGATTGTGCTCCAATCTAGACTGCCATCATTTAGAAATGGAAGGTCTAGTTTAACTCACTTCACACAAACTGGCAAATAAGAAACATGGAGAGTAGATGTTCAAAAAATTAAAAATAATGGATTTAAATTTACAGAAAGCTTTTGATAAGGTCCCTTATAAAAGGTGATTTGCATAAAATCCAATGTACATGAATCAACAGCTGTTTATCTAATAGGAAAAAGCACATTTAAAAAGTTGAACTGGTCTGATGTAAGCAGTGGTGTACCACAGATTAATCATTAGCAATACGAAAATGACAAAGACTGACAAAGTCATGGATTGGAAAGACACCTGGGCAGTGAAATGTAACAAACACAGGTGCAAAGGAATCCACACTGGTGATAGGAACATTAACTACACACATCACGGGGAGTTTCAAGCTGCAAAAAGCTACACGGGGACTTGTGTAGGGTCTTCAACGTCAAAACAACACGGGGAATCTTGGCAAGACCACACAGGGAGCAAAAACAGAAGGAAAAGGTGTAGATTTCAATCCAAGGAAGCTGCACATAAGTTTTACAATGCAGTGGAAGACCTCACTTGGAATATCTGTGTTGCATTCTGGTCATTACTACCAGAAAAAATACATTCTAGCTTTATAAATCATTCAAAGAAGGGAAACCATAATGATTCCCGGTCTTGGGAAATTGTATACACAGACAGGTAAAAGGAGCTAAATCTATTCAGTCTAGATTCAATGATGAAGACTGAAAGGAGATGTGATTCAAGTACATAAAATATTTAGGGGTACAGAAACTCACGGGAGTTCCACCGTTGCTAAATAAATGAGGACACATGGTCATAACTGAAAATTAAAAGGGAATTCATTTAGGGTGGCAAGCAGAAAGCACTTGTTTGCACAGAGTTGTGAGTGTCTGTTTCAGGCTTCCTAGCCAAGTGGTTGAAGCCCCTTTTAAATAATGGCTGAACGAAACTTTTGTTTTACTTAGCTACTAAAAACAAAGGGAACAAGACGGGATAAATCTCCTCCCATTTGCAGCCTTCATTCTCTTCCCACAGTAAAGCGGTTTAAAACTATAGTACTTAAGATGAAACTTTATGATGTTTGATAAAAAATATGCAGTGTATTGAGAACAGAAAAGGATGCTTTAATAAATGTTTATACATAAACAGTTTTAATTACCTGTTCATTCTGATACTTACAAAGAACTGTTGTGCTGTCTCACTGTCACAAGCCTCTTACACAGTCCTCTTGGCACTTACTAAAAGATCACCGTTTATGTGCATGTAAATAACCTGTTTAACATTAATTCTGAAGCTAAACATCAGTGCAAAGTTTTGCTTCTTTAATCTAGCCTTTTTAACAGTTCCTATTAATCCATTCCAGAAGCAAACATCTGTAGCTCAGTAACAGTAACAGCGCAAGGCTGAATTCCCTGACTCAGCTATCTGAATGCTCAGCACACCTTGAAGCATTTAGTATAATGGAATTCACCACCCTTATAAATGAGTCACTTAAGCATCCATTTAAATTTTGTCTAAAAGTAATCTCAATCTGTTATCTCTAAGGCAAAATTTAGACGGAGAACCGACACTGCATTCTGAGCCCGGTCATGAAAGCTTTGAGAACAATGTGTAGCACGAACAGCAATTTCCCTGCATATTCACTGTCTGTTGAAAACTTCCATTATTTAAACAGTTGCAGGCAGTGATTGCTAAAACACGTAAGAACCTCTCCCCCAGTGGGGCTGTACTCGGACGTTTCTGTCCTAACGTGGGACGCAGTGGCAGGACGTTGCTCAGGCCTCCCCAGCCTGCTGCAGTTCCCTCATTATCGCCAGCAGCACGTCTCTCCACAGGGTCTGGGCATTTTTTCCAGCTTTTGCAGTATCACTATGGTAACCAACAGATTTACCCAGTTTTCAATATGACTACATGAAGCACAATGAGTGTAACATTCACCCAGATCTATAATCTGCTTAAAATTTTAAAAAATGTAGCTGAATTACTCCCCCCTCCCCCAACATGCCCATCTGTGCACTAACTGTACATGTAAATTTGAGTGTTCGTCTCCCTGCAGGGCACTTACTGCACTGTGAAGCAACAAGCAAGCACACCAGGGTCTTCTAAGCTCCTGTGCCAGTCAGCTCTTGATTATAAAGGAGGAACTATCCTTGGATGCCCTCTAAATGCAATTCTGAGTGACAGTGCACAGCAGGAATTTAAATTTGGAAACAAAAAAACAGGATGAGACAATACATATAGTGAATTTGTGAATTATCCTCCACTTTCTTCACAGATGAAGCAGACTTTTTCGACACAGACCGTTTGCACAATCACGTGTGTCAAACACTGCCCTTCTCAGGACACGCTTGTAACACCATCGCACTGGTTGGTTCATGAGCCAGTGCCACACAGCACACACTGACCTGGGCATCATCACCGGGACTGCAGCGTGGGAGAGCTCCTTGCATTAGGAGGAGCACATACAAGTCTGTCAGTACAATAATACATGATTATATTATTGTAATAAGATTCTTTTTGAGCCAGATTGTATTTATTTTTATAGTGCTGAGAGCAATCTATTACATTGTACAGATCTGTTTTTTTGTCAGCCAGTTTAAAGCTTGTGTGCAAAGCCTGGACAACTTGTATTGATCCATGAGATACAAGCTAAATGGACCCACTGAGCGGATAATTCTATACTGCTGTTCCAGACTCCCTGACTGAAAATTAAGAGCCAACGCAAACCTTAGTTCCATTCAAATTTTATTTCTGCTGTTTACATCTATGGTCAGCGGTGGATTGTGAGTGCCAATGAATAAATGTAGGTTTACAAAACGTTAAACTCTTTGCCTTTTCTCATTTTAGTCATCACATTGAATATGTCACGATTATTTAAAGTTGCAATGTTAATTTTACATATCTGTTTTTCTACAAGTGGATGTTATCCAGCAGATATTTCCTTATTGTACATATCTGGTTATTTGTCTACAGTATTGCATCCTGATTTCAACATGATGACAAACTAAACATGCGCCTCTAAAAACCCCAATGTCTGAGGTCATTTACACACTGGGTTTGCCACGCAGCCACATTTTCACATTACAAGTCATTTATTAACTACATGAGCTGGATTATGATACCATCTCATTCCCCTCTTATCCTGATCATCAAAGACACAGCATCAACTGACTTTGAAAACAGTAACAGCAACTCAGATGTGAATATCACCACACACAATCAAATTAGGAAAAGAAGATAAACTTACTTTCCAATGTTATCAGGAAGGGCCTGCAATGAAATGTCGTTGATGGAAAGACATGTTAAATTCCGTAATTCTGGGAAGCTTTCAGGCAACCTGAGACACAGGAACAAAAAAAGCAGTGTCACAAGCTAGAGGACGGAAAGCAGCCTGCTCTACAATTCAGATGACTCCAGCAGTTATATCTCTGCAAGCTTCCAAATGCCAGCCTGTCTCTGCAGTGCTTTTTTTCTGGGGACATGTATGAAGTCATTTTCAGTGGTCTGCCACAGAGGAGGAGCAGGAGGGAGCCCCGTGAGCTCCAATGAGTTGTGCTTATTTCCTGAAGGGTAACTGCAGCGTGTAAACCCCACCACAGCGTAGCTCTAAAACAAGCCACATGGGTCACCCTCTTCTTCGACGTAGGTGGAGCCATACGCACACCACACGTCTCATGCGTGAGGGAGGTGCTCCAGCACACACCCCTGAGCAGCCTGCTCCAGAGCAACAGGCAGGATACGTGAAGGTACTTACAGGAAAAGCCATCTGTAATCACATTTCCTGCTGCAGACGGCAAATCTGGTGCCAAAGCAGGCATATGGCGTGACTAAGTGTCTTATTTAGACTGTAATAGCATACACAGCGCAGGGCAGTCACACAAAGAGGTGACAGACTAGGGCCCAGGGGTGAGCAATCTCACTTTGGAGTCCAACACCTCTCAGAGGCCAGGCTCTATTCGGAAACAAGAAACAGAGCCATGACCAAGAGAAATGTGTCATACCTAAACAGTTTTGCATCATTTAAAGTGAAAAATAATGTTGCTTTTTTAGTTGATGATTAGGGCTGATAATCAATCAGAAGTTATTACCTCATAAAAACAGATGGAAATGATTTGGAAGGGGAGAAAACAGGGGAAACGGGTTTAATGCTGAAAGTGTGATTAATACTTGATTAGACATGTGGTCAGTACAGATGAAGTATTTCTTCTGGGGTCGTCACCACTGTGTTGAACAACCTCCAGTCTGGTTTTAATCAGAGCAAAACGTGATTGTGTTATGTTATATGTACATGCTCCAGAAACTTACAAAATCACAGCCTGCTCTTCCAAACATATCAAAGGCGTTTTTGAAGCAAACACAAAGAAATAAATTAAATGATTTCTTATCTGGCTTTCAGAACATCACTACTGAAATGTAGGGATCATATAAAACATACTCATGTGAGAACCCAATATTGCAGCATAATTGTTGCATCTGGACAGAATCTTAAAACGATATCACACAAAAGAGGGTTTTTTCTGACAATAACAAAATGGACAAAATCTGCCAGCTGCACTGGTACCTTAATGTAATTTTCTTTTACAATTTCTTGAACACAAGAATTAAATCAGATTAGATTACACCTAGAATATAAAGGAAAACTGCTGGAAACATAAACTATTAACTGAAAATTCAGCTCATTTGTTATTAAAAACAAAACTTAATTACCTTGTTAAAGGATTCCCACTAAAATCTGCTACTTGAAGAGCTTTACAATATGAGATGCTTTCAGGAATTTCCATTATATCTGCAAAGGGGATGGAAAAATATTAACAGTAGATCTTAAAAAGACCAAATATAAAAAGGCATGTCCAACAGAAACATCTCACATTCTCACAAGTCTGTTGTAGGTGACAAATATCAGCTATTTTTTTTTTCATTTTACAGAATTAAATGTGGCTCAAAGTGCACTGGAACCCTGACTAATTATGTCAACATCATAATTCCATCAATATTGCTTTCACTCAAAATCAAGCACGCCAGACAAAGTAAACATAAAACTTTGTATTTATACACGCCATGCCAATAGGAGCACAACGTGTATTTAAGACTGTCCTTGATAGCACGAATTACAGTGTCGGGCAGTGAAAATTCAGCTTTGGTCAAAACTAAACCATTTAAACGACTATAATTGGTTGATACAATCTTCATAATTATCGTTCCAGATTTGTTCTTGCCGAAGTGCTCTGTAATCCCTGCACTGGCTCTGCTTGTAGGACATTAACCATGCACAGGCAGAGCTGCTGCGATGTGCCCGTCAGGTCTGCAGGCTTGTGTGAGGTCAACATGCTGTCTCTGCAAAGTGTCCGGGTCTGAATTTGTGCACCTGCGTAAAGGCTGGTCTCATCTCCCCACTACCCTCTAGAAAAAGTAGAACCAGGTTTTTTGAGAGAAAAGATTGTGCCTGTTTTTATTAACATGTAAGGCATCTCATGCATAAATTCCTTTAAGTTAGATTTTGATAAGCCTATTTTGATTACGTCTCCCTGTAATAGTGACGGAGAGCCAGAAACCTCTATTTTTAGGATAGTTTGCTGGGTAGGAAGGAGTGCAGTAACTCGGATTAGGTACATGTGCAGAATGAAAGTCTTTCTCCTGATAAAGGTTGTGCAAAGTTCTTATTTTGGCTAATTTTAAAGCCACTTCAAAGCCTCATAAAAGCAAGAGATCTAAAACAGAAGTCAATTCCACTCTCTTTTCCATGCAGCTCCCCAATCCTCCTGATTTTGACATTATGATACTGAAACAGGAGTGACCTTCACCATTTAGAGTTAAAAGCAACAACATTAAGGGATATAAATACATGCTATGGTCAACAATTTAAACAAATGTTAGTATACAAGATTACATTTCAAACTGAAGGTCGTAAGTATTCAAGATATTATATATATACACATTTGGTTTGAGAATTGGTTAAAATATAGAAAGCAGTACAGAAGGTGAATGCTCAGACAGGAAAAATGTAATGCAAATTCCTGTGATACCAAACTCATTACAACTGCACTCTTTACTTTTAATACATGATTTATCTTCAAGTATCGTTTAATTTACAGAGACGTTCACAAATTATACAATATAAAAAAATTAGCAAAAACTATAGATAAGAAAAGTAATTCAAAAACACAAGTTTAAGGTTGGGTTAACACCTACTTAATATTAACATTTAATATAAATTAAGTTATTATTTAATATATAATATTAACAAACATTTAATATACATTAATATTTGTGTTAATTTTAATATAGACAAGTAAACAACATTATATGAAGGTAGCAAAAATATAAAGATGGGAAACACTGAGCTTGAACAAGCTGCTTTTGAAAATGATTAAGGCGGTTTGGTTGAATGGAAGGGCTAACAATGTTAGGATCCATAGTTAAAAGTGTCCAATTTAAATTTACAGATGTTAAAATTGTACCACGCATTATTAAGCCCTTTTTAGAACAGTGCCCACAATTTGGGTCATCGCATTATAAAAATATTTCTGATAGCCGAAGAGTAATATACGTTAAGATATGTCCTCAGACTTAAAGGGATGTGCCAGTGACAGACTTAAAGGTCTTAATCTTTTAAGTCTTGAACAGAAAGTGGATCCTCATAAATTGAAGTATTTAGAATCCTGAAAGGCGCTGACAAAGTCAACTCAGATGACTTCTGGAGAAAATACAGTGAAACTCAAACCAGAGGACACAAGTGTCAACCACAGTGAGGGGAACACTCAAAGGGATGTGGAACAAGCTACCCAGTCCTGCATCCTAAGCTCATAACCCCACCTTGTTTCGAGAAAGAGCTGGACAAGACCCTCTGATCTCTTAGCTACTGGTAACTCAAAGAGCTTGAGTTACTAAAACCCTAAAAGGCCTCCTCTCACTTCTGTAACTTCTCTTGCATTCTAGGGTTTCACCTGTTAAAAGCATGCGCCGGGATCATTAGGTATATACTGTACATCTCACAGTATATACCTAATGTATTTAACTTTCTGGGATCAATGTGGTCGTGTTGGTTTTACATACCATTTCTGGACACATCCAGTTCCACGAGCTGCATGAAGTTGGCAATCTCTGGTGGGAGTCTCTGGATCTCATTGTCACTGAGTCCAAGTTTCCTTAACTTTACTAGCTGGAAGAAGGGCTGAAAAGCAAGGGTTTAATACAGTTAGCGAACCAAATAGCACACACATACACTCCAACGATGAATTCTGGTATTAACAGAACTTCCGTAGTAACTATCCAAACGATAGCTCTTTTGAAATATCTCCTTTAAGTAAAAAGCAGCTCACTGTACAGGAGCTGATGCATGCAAATATTTTAACATACCTAAAGTTGGCTGCTGTGCATTTAATATAGCAAACAGATCATAGGGTCTGGGAGACAGAAATACAGGGAAATGTTTCTGCAACAGGTATCAAAAACAAGATCATGATGATATGTGTTGGACTGCGAGAAAAAAAAAAACTTTTAAATTGTTTTTTGTGGAAACCATTAAACCAGTTTCATCTGAATCCCTAATAAAAACTGTATCCTTTTGCAGTACTGAAACAATTCAGCTTTAAGATGTCTGGAGCCTGTTTCTCTTCAAGAGGAAGGACCAAAGGGCATAACAATATTAAGTTTGGATTTGTATTTAAACGTGGTGCTTAATACTTCCACTTACAAAGGGCCCTTTGGGAGCTTCAGTACAGTAAACCATAATTAACCTCTGAAACAGTCTTAAGCAGCTCTTAAAACGGCTTTGGTTACACAGGACACCTGAAGGAATGCCTGTTCAATGATGCCCTGTTCTACATCTGCCTCAAGCCTCCTCAAACCATAGTCAGCTGCTTTTCCTTGAAGAAAAACATTCTCTTCTAGTGTTTTAGGATGAATAATACAATTAAGTGTACAACTCCAACGGTAATAATCCAGGCCCAAAAGGTAAACTAATGGAAACTAAAAGTATAGTAACAGAAAACTACAGAAAATCTGAATGATCTCCATGATCATGCTTAATTTACTGCAGCTATGACTACAGCTACTGTAGTCTGCTATAAACACAGCTTAACCTGCACAACCAGCAGACATTTTGAAAGACAAGGATCTGAAAATGAACTAGGGTATACTTTCTGATGAAAAAAACTTGGGCAAGTAGCCTACAGCCTCTCATCTTTAACAGGCAACAGATGCAAGAAATGAGAAAATAAACTGTACATGAAAACCAAGGATTTGGACTCAATGACACCAAATACTTAGGTTTTGGAGACAGACCACAAAATGATACTTGAACTTAAACCCTACACTATGCATCTGAAGATCATAGGTTTTATGACTGAAATATTAAGAATGGGGATGATTCTGAAGATCTAAGATTGGAATGAATTTCAGGTACCATACCACACTGTTGAACAATTTTGGTCTATAATTGCAGTTAAGCACTTAAGGTGAGGAACTCCGTGTATATTTTTGCAGAAACAGCTTAATCTTCTCCTGGGAAGGCTTTCCCCAATTATTTCAAGTATGGAAAACAGAAATGGCACTTTTCCTTTATTACACAGAATGTAACTTGCAGTATGTAAAACAAAATTCTGAACTTAAAGCTGACCAAAATAAGGAATTTCTTTTTTAGCTCTATAATGCAGAAGATGGAGATTGATATAAAGACGTTTGCCATCATAAATATAATAGTCCACTCTGTAATCGAATTTTGAAAATTATGGCAAAACAAGTTTCTATCAGCAACAGCCTAAGGTGTTTTTAGATCTTATATTCCTGCAGTTTTTAAAGACGTCCAAGTGAGAAACACAAACAGTGATCATCTGTTCTGCAGTTAGTACTGGCTGACCCCTCAGCTGCCAAAAGATTTGGTCATTAAGAATGCCCACTGGCCTGGCAAAAATTCTACTGTTTCATACACTGTCTGACATAATAATCTATTCACTGGCCTGTGTGTGACCTACTTGTCTGCTGGATTTCTTGTCAGATATGGGGAATTTTCAAATATTATGTAAAGTGCATCTCAAGGAGATACACAATGTGCTTCTGAATTCACACAACCCAGTGCCAGGTCCAAAACCTCTCGTCTTTTAGGGTTTACGTTTCTTTTTTATAAGGTGCAACATCCAAACAAACTACAGTACAAAACTGATTTTTTTTTAAATTTAAAAAAACGACATAAAGGGCTAAACATTAATCCATCATTCTGCGTTATTTTTCATCATTCTGCAATTAACGCAGTTCTCCCTGCATGCAGTTACAGAGCTGCATTACTGCCGGGGGTCTTGGTATTCATGATGGAACTTTACTTTTAGTACCTCTATGATGCATTAATCAAACCGGACAAAACGAAACACTGGGCTCTTTATAATACATCCTGTATTACTATTTCTATGATAATACCTACTGCATTCAAAATAAGCCCAAGGGGTCACTGTGAAAATGAGAACCAAAACAATTCTAAAGAACCTAATAATTGGGTCCGTACTGTACAACACTTCTGCAAGATTATCTTAAACATCACGACTCTAAAGACCAGACCATGTGTACTGAGAGCAGAGCAGAGCAGTTTCTCCAAACACAGAACCAACAAGGTTTCTCGATTGTCACTCCCAGACAACATTAACAAAGTTTTACAAGATTGCTCAACAATGAAACTCAAAGCTGCAGACAGACTTCACAGCAAATTTAAAATTCTACTGCGAGGGAGACATTCATGGACCTTCTTAATCCAATCCCTGCTCAAATGTTCTGGAACAAATGAGTAAGATTTAACAGACTGATTGGCAGCTGCAGAAGTTGTCTAGCGCTGTTTTATGTTAAGTTAGACTGCAAAAATACAGTGCACTGACCGAGTATCCCATCACCAAGCATCCGCGAGGAGCATCAAATTACGTAACAAAGGAAATCATTACAATAAAAATATTATCAGATGAAAAAAGGTTCTAAAAACATGGATGTTAAAGCTCCGTGTCGCTTCAAAATACTGTGGATCGGGAGTCTCACTCTCCGTTTAATCTGTCTGCTGCACACTGAATACTCAATTAACCTCATTATTTTCTTGTATATGTAAGATTTTTCGTAAGATCACAGTGGATTACTCAAAACATTCAGATCACTCGTCGCACAGTTTCTTGATTATATATATATTACAGATTATAATTAAAAAACTTAATGACATCCAATAATTAAAAAATAATGACATCCAATATGTAAGACAGCTCTTGTGGAACAAGAACCAGTCCCCTGCTGTACTGCACTAGGGCAAAATATTCAAAGCTGTACAAGATCACTGACAGCACATCAGTAGGAGGCTGCTTGAACTCTGACCTCCATTTATTGAGGCCTTGAACCAAGCTGTTTCAAGACCTCCAGCCACATAATGTACTGCTATCAATTCTCCTAAAATATTCCACTGGCAATTACCTATGGAATTTGAATGATTTGCCCTTTTATCAAATGGATACAGCAAGAGCTCCTGGTGAAACGAATATTCAAATTGACTATATTCATGGTCACATCTGAATTAAAAGCAGCTATTCTGTGACACATGTAAGTTGCTCATAATTGCTTTTGCGTTGAAATCAGCTGGCCACAGGCAGTCACAGAAGCTCAGACGGTGTGCAGCCTCTGTGGAACTGCATTGGACTTCCACGCTTTTTTCATGAAAAAGAAACATGTCCTTATAAACACTGCCTTCTCATTTTCACAGAAACAGAGGCCGAGCAGAGGATCCTGAAGATACTCTTTCAGCAAGGATTTCTGAAAAAAGAAACCAGTTTTTGCCACCAAGAGGAATATATTCTATTGCATTGACCTGTTTGCTCTCTGTGTTGGCTGCGTTATCCATATTCAAGACAAATATGGATGGTCACTAACCTGCCTATAAAAGGTTGAAGAAGCACGTGGTGTTTTAAAATCTTTCCCCATGGAAAATGAACAAACTTTAAATTGCTTTAAAAACTGTTGCCAGGTTTTAGCATAGCCTTCTGTACAATTTAATTTAAGTTGTTCTCAATTCAACACTGTACAATAAGGAATGCAGTAATATTGTCCTTAGAAGTACTGAATAACTATATCCTTTTCCCAAATACTGCATTTGTGAGTCCAGCAGGATACTGAACTCTCCAGTATTATGGAGAAAAGATGCATCTGGAGGGTAATATTTTGTGAAAAGAGGCGGCCCTTCCTGTTTCTTCAGTTGTGTAACTGTCAGATTTATGACATGGTTTATTGGATTTTTAACTCTCAATTTATTATTCTTAAAGACAACTTCAAGACACAAAAGAAAATGCACAAACATCAGACATGAGTTACAATTCCTGACTGAATTTTGCCACCACTCGCGTCTAATGTGAGCTTTGTTGAAGTAATGAACACTTTAATTTTTTTCTCTTTAAGTCAATATTTGCACTGAAGGATAAGCCAGAAGGGACAAAAACAACACACAGGGGTGTCAATCAAATCAAAGAGTTCACACCCGCTTCAGCCTAGAAGATAAAGAAATCCATGTTTGAGTAATCAGCACAAACAGCACTCTACTCTGCAGGCCAGTCCCTGCAAGATAAAGTGAAAAGACACCATCTATACTACAGATGACAGACTGCAGACCAAGAACTGTCTCCTTTGCTTATATACAATAATCAGGATAAGACGGGAGGCACTGCACTTCTGGAAACAATTTGGAATAGATCTCTCCAGGCAATTTTGTACATCTTATTTATTAAAAATCTATCACCCCAGTGCCCTGGCCAAATTTCCCCCTGGCCTTTACCAATCATGGCCTCCTCATAATCCCCCTCTCTGAACTGGCCTCATCACTCTGCTCTCCTCCCCACTGAGAGCTGGTGTGTGAGCAGACTGGCACATCATCCAGATGGGGCTGCACACTGGTGGGGGTGGAGGGGATCCCCATTCCCTGCGAAGTGCTTTGAGTGGATCCATCAAAGTACTATATAAATGTAAGGAATTACTATTATTACTATGGATGCTGGTTCATTGCAAGACACATGCACGTGTATGTGCTTATGGAGGTGAAGTCTAAAAACGAACTGTGTTTTTGGAATGAAGGAAGAAAACTGAAGCACACAGAGAAACCCCATGGAGACGAGTTTGCATGCTCTCCCATACCAAGCCCAGATCCAACCCAAGAAGCTGGAGCCG